TGGAGGGGGTGCTAAGCCCCTCGACGCGCCGCCAGCACTGCCAGGGCGGTGCCCCTGATACACGCTGCTACGCCACCGGGCCGACGAGGCGGCGGGGGCGCGGCGCGGAAGAAAGCCCTCCATAACCGACCGGGGAGTTGGAGCGCCATGCATGGCGGCACGGCGGCCCGTACAGTGGCAAACGCACTCCCATCATCACATCATGCGATTTGCCCGAATTTCGCACAACGGCCTTTCCCCTCCCCTTTCCCCCTTCATACTCATAATGGCTCTTGAGGCTGGCTGCCGCGGCGGGGCGGCGCGGCGGCGCGGGCCGAGCCAGCCAGCCCGGCCTGTATGTGTAAACTAAGCACATTACGCGTTAGGCCCCGCTCGGGCCCGCCGCGCTCCGGGGAGCCGCTGGAGTTGGGCACTATACACTCCAGCTGCCCCCCCCCCCTCCCGGAGCCTATTACAGCCGCATGCAGACGCACAGGTGGGGTGCTGATGCCACGCCCTGCCGTCCGCATTAACGTGACACTCTGCCAAATTATGACGACCGATGGGGGCGCCAAACTGACACCGTCGGTCGGCGCGTGTTAAAGCACACACGACCACTTTCGGCCTGCCGACCCTCCTCCACTCACACACTGCCGCACACTGCAGTGCACTGGTGCGTCGGTGAATGGGGAAGGAGCGCCGACAAGACGCGCCCCGTCTGGCGTGCGGTGCGAACCCCGTCATTCATCGGGCCAACAACGCAACGCCACACAGTAGGCCAGAAACCTGCGGAGGCGGCCAAAATTCTAGACGCGTTTTGAGCTCCAGAGTCGCTAAATGGGACTCGAACCGACCATGTGACCCCACCAATGGATCGCTCTCCGGACGAGGAATCCATTGATGGGGTCACTCGTTCGGTTCGAGTCTTGTTTAGCGACTCGGGAGCTCAAAACGCGTCTACAATTTCAGCCGCCTCCACCGGTTTCTGGCCCACTGTGCGCCGGCCGAGCAATGCATTGCCAGGCATTGCCAAGCATTGCGAGATATGGAATAAAGTCGAGCGGGGCGGCCTAATCCCCCCGGCCCTCGGCAAATAACGCGCTGGCCCACATTAGGGCATAATTATTTCTCCTCTTAGGGCTGCCGGCCTGCTGGGCTTGGGGATGGGGAGGCCGCACGGCCTGGCAGCGACACCGTACGCCGGGGCAGCCGGGCCCAGGAGTCCTGGACCGGGGACCGACCGGGGCGAACAAACAAAAGCGTAAAAGTTTTGCGGCGCTGATCCGCGCTGGCCGTGGCGGCCGTGGCGGCTGGGGGGCCAGCCGGGAGGCGCACGGCCAATATGGAGGCGACCCCGGCAGGCACGGCCGGCAGGCGGAGGCCGCCGTGCGCGAGGCCCACGTTCTCATTGAGTTGCCGGAGTGAGATGGCAACCCGACGAGACGCGCTCTCTCGCCCCGTCTCTCTCACACGGCCCCTCGCCCCACGAGTGCGAGAGAGACAGAGCATGGGGCGACGCCGGCAGCGTGCGCATGACGGGGGGACGTCGCTAATTCGCAGCGCGAACCGACGGCAAAGCCTTCCACGAAGAGGGACGCGGATCCAGAGCACGGAACACGCGAGTCTCCCACTCGCAGCGCGGCCGTCTGATTCCGAACACTGCTTCCGCGCTGTCACTCTCGCACCCCTACGGAACGCCCCATGAGTGCGAGAGAGACAGCGACGAAAGCAGTGCTCGGAATCAGACGGCAGGTCGTGTCGCCACCGAGAGGGTCGTCGCCGGCGTCCGCGCTTCGAGGCGATAAATTGAAAGGCAGTCCGCCGGCACGGTCAGAGACACGGCCCGGCACGACCCGGCGCGGCCGGCAGCGCGATAGAGGCGACAGGCGCCAGAGGACGGCGCGCCGAGGCGCCGCGACCAGCGCGACCCACGGGTCAGGTCATCGCTCATCGCTCATCCGATAGCGGCCGCGACTATTTGCTAATAAGTGGCCGGACGGGCGAACCGTCCCGGCGAACCGACCGGGCGGCCACCAAGACCCCCGCCAGGGCCGCCAGGGCCGCCAGGGCCGCCAGCACGCGGGGACAACGACGACCCTCCCCGACGACAAGGCCCGCAAGGCCCCCGAGTGTCGACGCGGTGTCGACGGCGCGGTCAAAAGGGCCGCGATGGCGGGCCGCCAAACTTGCGTACACCGGCGCCCCGCACAATGGACCCTCCTCTCCTCAAAGGGCCGAATGCCCCAAGTTCCACGCGGTTCCACGCGCACCGAGGCGGCAAGGATCGACCCATTAAATTGCATGATGCGCCAGTTTTCCGGCCCCGGCTAGGCTTGCCGTCGACACCGAGGCGGCGGCGGAGTGCGGGGCGCGCGTGGCACCGCGCTGTGGTCCAGGCCAGGAGGCCTCGCCGTCGACGCCGGCCCTCGGTGGCACTTCCCCGGCGGCGTGGCCCGGGCCGAGGCGTTGGCCCGCCGGCACGCGCGTCACTGTCACTACGCCTACAACTACAGCATCCTCACGTACACAGGCGCGGTGCGTCCGCGGAGCGTTGACGCCTCGACGCGGGCGGTCGCCGCGGTCGCCGCGATCGCGGCACGGGCCGACGCGATGCGGCGCGAGGCGCGAGGCGCGAGCTCTGGAGCGCGGTACGAGTGGCGCGAGGAGGCGGCACGCGGTGCAGTGCGGCACGCGGACCGGCCGGGCAGCGACTGAGTGGGGCCGTGCCTGCCTGCCTGCTGCCTGCCCGCCTGCCGCGGGGCCGCGGGGCGTCGAGAGCAAGCAGGGACAGGGAAGCAGCGGCTCGGCTCGGCCCGGCCCGGCTCGGCTTTGCGAGTGCCCGCACTGGTTGGGGGAGGGAGAGGGAGAAGGGGAGGGACGGGCGACCCCCCGCGGGGCTACGCGGGGCTCGGGGCGGGGCGGATGGGCCGCTGGAGTGGGTGCCTTGGGACCGGTGCACCGGAGGCTGGCTGGAGCCACTGACTCCTTCCAGCCGGCACGCTGGAAGCACGCTGGAAGCACTCCAGGCCGAAAGAGAGGCTGCCGTCGACTCCGCTCCGTGGGCCGGTCTGGGGCACTGGGACGCCGCGCTCGACGCGCTGCACTGCCTTGCTCAGGATGTCCTTTGTCCCGAAAGCCAATAAAATAAATTGGTGGGATTTGGAAGCGCGCGCCAGTCGCACCGTATTTCTGCCACTGGCGGCAGTAAACAACGCGGGGAAAGTAAACCTCGGAACCTCGGACGCGCAGGCACATTTTGGAAGAGGCTTCCCCTACGCTCTCGAAACAATCGTTCTGTCATTGTCTCTGCCAGTGAGGGGGTTGTGTAGAATACGAGAAGAGCTAATCCAAACCAAAGCAGCCCTCCCTTTGGAACAGTGAAGTTCCTTAAAATTCGGTGATGCTTGGGGGGGGGCGCTTCTCCGTTTTTTTGGGTAAGGTTTTTAGGTAATGTGAGGTTAGGTTAGGTTTGGTTGGGTGGCTGTGCAGCGTGCTTCGATTTCGGCAGTGCAGTGTGTCATTGCGAGATACGTCGCCTCAACATAGAACTCGCTCCGCAAAGCACGGCCTGGGATCCACCCCGTCCGTAGCGAGTTGCGGGCTAATTGACTCAACGAATTTGCTTCGGACATTCTGATTGCAAAGGCAGCTGGGAGTGGCGCCGCGTAGCGAGTAGCGAGCGGGGGAGGAGGCCGACAAAGCCGCCGCCGTGGCCGCCCCGCCCCACTGCCATGTTTTCCTGTTTTCACGTTTCCCAGTTCTCCTGTTTTCCTCGTCAGGCTCGACAGCCAAACCAAAACAAAAGGCAGTTTAGCTTGTTGGTGGTTGAGAGAGCAAGTCAATTCCTGCAGCGCGGGGCGGGCTGCTGTCCCGTGGCGCAGTGGTGTGAGTTGGGTTGCCTACCCCGGGCTCCGCAGGCGCTCCGTCCGACCGCCGCGCCGCATCGCCGCCGACCCTCCGTCTCTCTCGCACTCACGGAGCGTCCCACTAGGTGCGAGAGAGACGGAAAGCTGTGCGGAGTCAGTCTGACGGGGCCAAAGGGGTGTAGCGAGGGGTGTGGCCGTGAGGGGAGCGGGCCGAGCGACACACTGCAGGACCACTGCACGCTCGGTCGAGCCGTGCCGAGCCGTGCCGAGCCGTGCCGAGCCGTGCCGAGCCGTGCCGAGCCGTGCCGAGCCGTGCCGAGCCGTGCCGAGCCGTGCCGAGCCGCAACAGGCGAAAGGCACGCACTTTTCTATCCAATTTGAGGGGCCAATGGCGGACAGAGTGCCGCTCAAAGTGCCCCACCGGCCTGCCCCGGTCTGCCCCGGTATGCCTCCGGCGCAGTCGTGCGCGAAGAGGGGACGGAGTGCCTCATCGGACACCTTTGCCGCCATTTCCTCCGTTCGAGTCATTCGGACGAAACGACGGGACTTCCGCGGTCGCGCTCCCTCTGCAGGGAGTCTGAGATCGGCCAGAGCAAAGAGAGGCTCGAGGAACGTCTCCACGGACGAAATCCCAAACCGCTCTGCGCCACTGTAAACGGGCTGTCTTTGCCGGCAGTGTAGTGTAAACGGCCAGAACCTAATAAGGCTCGTAGTAAAAGTGATGGACCAAGTTTATCCCAGCGGGCCCACGCCGCCCCGCCCCGCCCCGCGCCGAGCAGTCCGCCGGCCGGCCGTACGCACCACGGCGGCCCCACGGCCACACGCCCTACAGACCCCATTAACTGCCAGAGCCCTCACAAACAGAACAACTTGGCTGAGTTGCAGTGGGCCGCGGAGCACGGGCCGCGCCGAAACTGAGGCGGGAAATCGCACTGCGCACCAAGAGAAGCTTCAGAAAATACGGCCCAGTCGAGGAAGTACGATTTCTCGTCCGAAGGCAGCTAAAACCACGTTTTCTGCTCATTTTTTTCCCGTTTTGAAGAATGATTTCGAATGGTGTTGTGTGTGTTTTCCAAGGTGTTTTCGTACATGGTTCACACATGATCGCGCGAGCTCGTTGCTCCTCATGTGACTGGATAAGAGGAACACAGGACAGAAACACGACGCGCTGTTTATTATCACTTGCACATTTATCTGACAGACCGATACAGTTTCATTATTTACATTCATCTTTGTCCGTCTGCGGGTTTTCGCCCGCGGGCGAGGCCCGGCTATAAAAGGCGCACGACCCGGCCGACGAGAAGATAGCAACGAGATGCATCAAACGCTGCAGGCCGGCGCTGCGACTTTTCGATAAGGCGAGAGTTCCGCCAATCGATTCATCGAACGGACCATCTCCAGTCGGCCCGGTAGGCATGAAAAGAGAATCGTCGCCAGACCTCTATCACAATGATGACAACAATCTTTGTCTGGGTTTCATCGATACGCACGTCGTCCAATATACTATATTCAGGCTCTCCGCTTCCCTCACTGTTCGCAGAAGTAGCCGGATCCCGTTCTTTCCGTTTGGTGAGGGGATAACTCTACCACCATAGTGATTTGTACTTGTGGCCTTAATTACAATTTAGTCTTTAAGTCTTATTCTAATCAAACTCATCGCAGAAAACAAGCGAGCCTGATTCGCTGCGACAAGTAAGTGGGTTACATCACATGTTCTTTTTTCACATCCTGTCCCAGTTTAGTTGAGCTTCAGCCAGATCTGGCTGCGTACACGAGAAGGTTGGGCTGCCTTTCGCCGTCTACTTTCTTTCAGTCTTCTTGACCACGTTGCCGTTGGGGTCCGGCGAGACGCGGGGCGCGGGCTGCGGCGGTACGGGCGGCACCCTCGGCGCTACCCCCTGCTCGGAGCTTGGAGTCATGGAGTAGCGCTGCGAATGAGCACCGCCCCTGGAACAGTCGATACCCCGCGCCACGGCCACGGCGTCAGACAATGGCACACAAATGGCACAACATAGCGGTTCAACGGGTCGTGTGGCCGCGGGTGTCGCTGTCACGTCTCTTCTTCACCGATTCTCATAATCGCTTACTTTCGCGGAGCGAGCAGCAGCTTGGACAAGGTCCTCGTGGGCACCTCCACGGCCAGGTGGAGCGCGAAGGCGAGCAGGAACGAGTTGAGCACGTCGTTCATCGACTCCTGCCACTGGAACACGAAACAGAACAAAATGAAACTCCGGCGAACTTCTTGAGGCTCAGGCTGAAAACAATATAACAACGCTTACTGTCTTCCAGTCCTCTTGGTGGTACGGCGCCCTGAGCACCGCCGTGGAGGTCATCTGGAAGATCCAGTGCACCAAGTACACGCAGTACGTCAGCTTGCTCAGCACCAGGAACGGCCGTGGCGTCGTGGCGAATCTCACGATGGCTGCAGTGAAACAATCAATTATTATTCATTTTGCCTAATTCTATGCAACGGTTTGTGAGCTCATCGAAGTTGACGTAGTGGAACTGACACTTGGTGCCCAGCATGGAGCTGAGGCTGCCAGCCACGAGGCCAGCCGTCCACACCACGGGCGAGAAGGCGGCGTAGACCGCCGCCCCCAGGGCGCTGTAGACGTGCTCGGGGTTGTAGAACACGACGGACGTGAAGAGCACCGGCAGCATGCACGCCGCCGCGCACACCTCCAGCGCCCACGTCCACGTCTAGACGAAGGAAAGAAGAAGAAAATTAAAGCAGAGGTCGCGGCCGGGGGCTGCTTGAAGCGCGCCGCCGAGGACTTGCCGTGGAGAAGCGGTGCTGCCGTTGCACGTGCAGCTTGTGGAGGAGCAGCGCCGTGCCCATGCCCATGAGGTACGGCGTGGCGCGGTTGTGCGAGGCGGAGTACACCAGCCGGAACATGGGGCTGCGGTGGATGTCCTTGAGGAACCTGCGACACGGTGTCACAGATAGTTTCGCCGCAGTCCCTGACAGTAGTATGGGCACCCCATCCTCACGGGCCGCCATTTTGGGCCCCCATTCGTACATGCCCCTGGACGCCCTCACTTCAGTCGTTCGCCATCACGAAGTTTAAGTAGATCACCATCCTGGACACTCACCCGGGGTGGAACATGAGCAGGGCGGGCCAGTGCTGCAGGGCGGTGAGGGCGAAGGGGACCGCGACGGACAGGACGGTGAGCGCGGCCAGCGCCGCCAAGCCCCAGCGGTAGTTGCGCCGCACCAGCAGCAGCACCATCGAGCCCAGCACGAAGTAGTGCATGTCGGCGGCCAGCGACCACGATTGGAACATGCACTGTGGGGAGGGAAGGGGAGGGGGTTACATCGGTCGCTCGAGAAGCACGCGCGAGAACTCTGAACGGCCTCTCGGCCCGCTCACCAGCGTGTCGGTCGGCACGTAGTTGTTGATGTACAGCAGGTTAGTCCACCAGTAGTCGCGGCAGGCGTCGCGCTCCACGCCGATGAACGAGTCCCACAGCGGCCCGGAGCCCGTCTTGTAGAACACGGAGGCGTAGAACAGGATGACGAGCGCGTAGCACGGCGTGAGCCGCACGTAGCGCAGCAGCAGCGTGCGCCCGAAGTGCTGGGCCTGGGGGCGGCACAGGTCGTACCACGCCAGCAGCAGCCCCGCCAGGTAGAAGCAGGTGTCGACGTACACCTGGCCGTGGATCACCCCCGTCAGGGGCAGGTCCTCGACCGCCTGTGCGGAGAGAAGCACTTTAAAACCCACTCGACAACTTGGGTGCTATACCATTTGACCGACCTAAATTTGACCGACAAAAACTAGGCCTACCTATTTTATTCTTGTTTTTGTCGGTCTAATTTAGGTTGGTCAAATTATCGGCTCCCACAGCCTTGAGATTCCTCTTGGAGCGCGTGCGTACCTTCCCCGCCACTTGCAGGTAGTTGTGCACGGGCCCGCGGTACACGTTGAGCACGCGGTGCACGCACACCAGCAGCACCATGTTGATGAAGCGCACCCCGGACACCGGCTCCGTGGCCAGCCCGGCGACGCGCGGCTCGGCCGCCAGCAGCGAGCGCAGGGACCGCCGCAGCGAGAAGCACAGCAGCATGCGTCGAACGCGGCCTGAAACGAACCAAGCACCCGTTTTGAATTCGTCGTCAGCAGAGTCAGCCCGGCTCTGACGGCAAAAATGAAACGGTTGAAAGAGCGATGTTCTCAGGCACGCTGTCCCGGTGGGAAAGCAGCGCAACGGTGGTCATCGCTACGCGCGGCTACTGGCGGCTACTGACCTACAGCGGCGGGCTGCTCCTTGCCGCCTTTGCCGTTGGCGTCCAGCTGTCCGCGGAGGTCCACCAGGGTTCCCACAATCAGCAGCGACACCAGCGTGCCCACCAGCGCCCTGCAACAGTGGCAACAGTGTCGCGGCGTCATTGCGTGGCGGAGGCGCGGGCGTCCAGGACCCCTGGGTGGCGCAAGCAGGCGCGCAACCCGCGATGACAATTAGGGATCACACTGGCGTTCTCACCCGAAGACGGCGTCCAGCAGGTCGGCGCCGTAGCGGCGGCGCAGCGGCGCGGTGCAGTGGCCCACGGACACGTTGACCGCCTTGGCCGCGTCCCGCACCGCCGCGCCCAGGTGCGCCTCCAGGGCCGTCTTGAGCTCCCCGGCGTCGCAGGCCGCCGGCACGCACAAGCCCCACGTCATCGTGTCCAGCGGGAGCATGTGATCCGCACCGGAAAACTGCGTATCGGCGGGGGGAAATAGTAAAATTAGTTGGATTTGAACCCACGACCTGGCGGTACGGAGTCTGTCCGCTTGACCACTCGGCTACTTACGTGGACCTTGTCCCAGACGGAGCCGTTGGGCGCGTACACCTGGTGGTGCAGCGGCAGGGCCTCGGTGTGCGGCACGGCGTAGTGCACGGCGGCCAGGCAGTACTGCGACGGCCATGGCGGCGTCACCCCGAGGCACTCGTCGAAGTCCCCGAGCTGGTACACGGAGCCCGACAGGGCCCCGACGGCGCCCACGCCCAGCGCCGACGCGTCCAGCACTGCAACAACACCATTGCTCAGCCTGATAGCGCCTGCCGAAGCCCTGGTAGGCAACCCGCCGCGCACGGCTGCTTAACAGGCGGGTATCCAGCCGCCTGCAGAGGCAATCCCGCTGCACAGCGCGCCGCGGCGGATTGCCTACGCTGCGAACCGCAGGCGCTCCGGATGTAAACTCAGCTTCTCGGCGTCGGCGGCGTCCTGGTGGACTGGATGACTCACTGTGCATGGCCCACAGCGTCCGGTTGGCGATGGCCCGCTCCAGCTGCTTGCTCTGCCTGGCGCACGCCCGCGCCGCGCTGTTCGGCGCCGTGATGGTCATGGAGGGGAACAGCGAAGCGGCGCCGTCCTCGGCGTGCACGACGGCCAGGGCCGCCAGCACGGCCAGCGCCGCCAGCCCCATCGCCTGTGAGGAGGGCATGAAGCTGATGAGCGCCTGGCGCCGGGGAAGTCGGTGGAATGGCGGAGCCGGGCGACAACGACGCATTCGCCGGCGCGGCCGGCGCGGTCGCCAGGACCCCAGCGTACCGCCCGGCCTCTTCCGCCTTTCCCTGCCTCCCAGTGTGGGTGCCTCTGGTGCCCCCCTCTCCTTTCTCTCTCTCTCGCTCGGTCCGTAGCGCCATCGCTCTCTCGCTCCCACTCGGACTGAATCAATATTCCAAATATAAACACTTCCTTCCCGGCCGGCACGAGGGCAGCCGGAGCCAACGACACACGCCGTGGGCACGGGCTGGCACGGGCGCGCGCGGCTGCCGGTGGAAATTAGAATAGCAGTAACGGCGCGAGCCCTGTTATGCTGCGGACCTGCGCGGTCACCCCGCCAGCACTTGGACTTGCCTTGCACACTCGTGGGCTCAAAGATGATTACGGTCGCGAAATTTTTCAAGTCATGGTGCGTTATTGTGAAATGGTGCGCAGCTCACGTGGATGCCAAATCATTGCAATAGGTGACGTAGACAAACCAAAAAGTCTGCTAGATTTCAGTGAAATCGTCAAAAAAGATAAGGTTATCTCCTCTTTGCTTTTAACAAAATTTAGTTTTAATTTTTTTTGTTTGGGAAATGCGACCGTCGTCGTATTCCGGTCCAGGTCGGCTGGGTGGTTATTTGTCGCGTGACAGACCACTGTTTCTGTTCCGTGAGACGCACTCCGTAATATTCTCACCGTGGACGAAAAAAGGACTCCGGGATCCGCAACTCCGGGCGACGCTCGCCGAACTCCGCGAGTACACACACGAGGGCGTCCCTTGCGCCACGCCTCGGCCACGCCGCGGCCACGCCACCGCCAAGTGGCTGCTTGACAGACTGTGTGCTCTCGGCGGGGCTGAAGGCGGCGGGGCGGCGGGGCGGGGGGCGGCGGGGCGGCGGGGCGGCGGGGCGGCGGGGCGGCGGGGCGGCGGGGCGGCGGGGCGGCGGGGCGGCGGGGCGGCGGGGCGGCGGGGCGGGGGGCGGCGGGGCCCACCAGGACCAGGACCTGACCGTCGTGTCTCCCGCCTGACTTCGCAACGCGCTGCCGGCCGGCTACCGCCCCGCCGCCATGCCACGCCGCCGCCGCCGCTCTGTCCGGGGAGCAGAGAGTGCCACTCCTGTCGAACCACCACACTACGTACACGAAAAGGGGGATCCCGACAGGAACCGGCCATTACATTAACGACCTGGGCAAACAGTGTGCCAGTGTTTTGGCACGTGGACTGACCCGCAGTGCCTCCCCAGCAAAACCCCAGAAAAACAAGAGTACACGACTCCGTCTTGTGACTAATGGACGAGCCTCTAAAAGCCTGTGCAAATGAGACTAAATAAAATATTTCCTTCGAGGACCGCCACTTTGGTTGGAAGTAAGTGCCGAGGCAATTGCGCGTCGCCGATGGCACCGCCGGAGCGAGGGGTCAGGCGAGTGTTCCGCAAGGCGTGGCCCAACACTGTCCGTCATGCAGGCCACCGTCCGCGTCAGCCCGCGTCCCGGAGCGAGGACTAGGTAAGTACATCCTCATTGAGGAGTAGTTGCTCGTGGTGGGGGTCAAAACCCGGCGAAGCTTTCCGATTCGAATCATTCCAGCTGCATAGAGAGGCTGTCCATTAGCGCGGGAGGCGGCGGTGAAATGGCCCGGTCGCCCCGCCTCGCCCCGCCCCGCTCCGCCCCGCCCCGCCCCGCCCCGCCGCGATGACCATCAAGGCCGTTCGCACGGCTGCATTCCGGGCGGGCCGCGCTGCGCCTGGTGGGACGTTGCCCCACTCCAGATGTTTTTTGTTGTTGTTTTTTTCATCCAGGAAACCCTAGCGCGCGCTGGCCGAGTGCACCAGCAGGCTTCACCGTCTGCCGCATCCACGGCCTCTGCGAATAGGCCTGGGCCTGGAGCCTGGAGCCTGGAGCTCTGGGACTGGCTTGGGCAGGCCGTCATCCGCCGGTTGCACGCCTTTCTCATTGGAGCCGCCCCGCTGCGGTCGCCGGCCTCAAGAATTGCCTTATCTGTCCCCGTGCCCCGTTGCCCTGCATCGCCGCGCTGCTGCACCGACGCCCCGCCCCGCCCCGCCATGCCACGCCCCGCCACGCCACGCCACGCCACGCCCCGCCACGCCCACTGCAACTTAGTGCTGTGTGCTTGCTGCAAAAGTGGCGAAACACAGGTGCTGGCCGCCCATCCGCGACGCTCTTAATCCCCTCAAAGAGCCCCGAGGTGATTCACGAGGACACACGCCGGCCGTGCCGGTGCCTGCGCACAGTGCGCTTCTCCCTGGACGCGGAAAAGGGCCTGGCCTGCGCCTCCATCCGGTGTTTCTCCGCCCTCAGCTCTGTGGTTTTTCGTATGCAATCATTTTTCTGGGCCTTCTGGGCCTTCTGGGCCTTCTGGCGGCGGCGAGCGGCGGCGTGCACTACGCGGTCCCGGGGGCAGCCCGGGCCAGCCTCACAGGAGCGTAAAGGAAAGATGGCTGTGTGTGCGTGTTGGTGTGTGTGGTGCCGGAGAAGGTACTTCGTGACGCAACGGCGCATAGGCGTCATGGCTCGGCTGACAGGCCGACAGGCCACGGCCCCCGACGGCCCCGCTGCGCGCGCTGCGTTCTACTGGCCGGCCGGCGCGAACGCGGCGAACGCCCCGTACTCTAATTCACGGCTTGTATCCGCCTCCCGGACTACACTCGGCTACACTGCATAAAGGCACTGGCCCTTCCAAAGGCACCACGCCGTGGCACCCGGAATGAAAAGGCCCACGGGGGTGATTGGTATTTCCCCGCACGGTCTAAGATTCATTTGCACATAGTGTCCCGGCTGACTCCGAACACAGTGCTTTCGTCGCTCTGTCCCCGTCGCACTGATGCGGCGGCCCGTGAGGGTGTGAGAGAGGCAGAGCGACGCCGGGAGCCATCGGCCTATTCGACATGAGTTGACGAGCAAAAAGTTGTCACTGCATTATCATTGCGAGTGGCAAGAGTGACTGCCGGCCTTAACTAACTGCTTGCTGGCGGCCTGGCGGCCACTGGTTGGCACTGGCAGGCGTGCGCCGGTGACCCAGTCGGACGGCCCGCCCCGGCCCGGGGCAGGGGAGGGGAGGGGGCCGCGGTGCCGCGACGCGACGCGTACCGGTTCGAGTCCCGCCACCTCGCCGCCTCGCCGCCCCGCCCGCCATGACGTACTGTTTGGGCGCGCGGCGCACGCCTCACGTGGGTCTGGCCGGGCCGGCCGGGCCGCCGGGACGGTGACCAAACCCGGCGGGCGGTTTGGCGGGTCGCGGGTCGGCGTGGGTGGGGGTGGGCGTGGGGGACTCACTCCACGGATCGTTTTCGTCGTCCGCGTAATGCATTACGCGCCATTATTTCTCTCAAAGGAAGGATCAAGGAAAGTGATGGCCTTAAAAGAGGATCGCTTTGTTGACGTCTTGCGACCGCTGTAAGCACTTGTCTCGGTTGCAGTGATCGCGGCGGGCGGTGCGACGGCTTGGCGAGATTGCGACCGCGGTTGACGGTAGTCCATGGCCCCGCCCCGCCATAAAGTTGGCTGCCAGTCGTTACCTGCAGGCTGGAGCTACCGCTGGCTGATGCAAAGACGACGAGGGACGTGTGCTCCTAGGCGAGCGATCGGCGCATCTTGCGGAGAATGTAGGTTTCTGGAGAGGCTCTCGGCAGTATTTGGCGGATCACTACTGCAGAGGTTCGTTCCACAGACACACTCACACGCACGCACACTGACACTACGCGGTCGCGGCGACGCGGGGCGCCGGCAAAGCGAGCTGAGCTAGCCGGCGGAGCTCCAGGGCTGGCACACGGCACACCCCGGGGTAGCGATCTAACCGCGGCGGAGGGTGCCGGGGTGCCTCTGGAGCGGTGCGAGTCCTGGCCGGGACTGAAGCGGGAAAGCGGTCTGGAGGCTGGAGTCCCTCCAGCCCCTCCAGCCCCTCCAGCACCTACTACGCGACCGCCGCGCCGCGCCGCCCGAGAGGCCCGGCCCAGGCCCAACAGACCAGGAGCACAGCGTGATTATGTCATACAGCGGGGCAAGCGCAGCGCGCGGCGCGGAGCCAAGAGTCGATGCCCGGCCGACGAGACGAGCCACCGCCGACGCGGAGCAGCGGAGCCGCGGAGCCGGCACCCGAAAGGTCGCAGTTGAACTGCATCGAGCCGCCATCGAGCGCCATTGTCTCGAACGTTGCATCCACTGTCTCTCACGACTCTGACGCCTCACGGATCCCGTTCTGCGCATGCGGCACCCTCTCATCTCACTCAACCACACCGCACACTTGCGATGCGGAGGCTGTTGGCAAAAACGTGTCGTTATTGCTCTTCCCAGCCGAGCAGGCCGGCAATGCGTGCGTGCAGTGCGTGCAGTGCAGGCGTTGCGCACATCCAGCGGCTTAGTGCTGCCGAAGTCTGGAGGCTGGAGGGAGAAAATGGGATTGGGATGCGGATGCGCGGATGCGCGGATGCGCGGAGGCCGCCAACCTTCCCGCCCGCCAGGATGGAAGTCACCCACTGGCGTTGTGGCGCCGGGGCCGACGCCCGGCCTTGAGGAGTAGTGATTTAAAAATACCGTAATTTATTCAATCTTACGGTAAAATACGTTTTAAACCGTAAAATACGTAATTTATTCCGTAATTTTCGTATTTTTCGTAATTTTCCCTAAATGGCCAGGAACATACGAAATTTGTATATTTTGACCTTTCTGACGCACAATGGAATTACTGCTGCCGTACTGTACCCTGCTGCACTGTCTGAGTGAAATTGGAGGGTGGGACTTACACACAGAACACCTCTAGCATCCCTCGTGCAAATTATCACAGAATCCCGTGATTTTTTAAAATCGAATTCTAGGAGGAAAAATTCTGATTCATCTTCTGATTTCTGATTGTCAGTTAGAAAATTTTTTACTGACTAGCGCGGCATAAAATTTCTGAGTGTGTCATCAGGAATTTCCTGATAGGAATATTTCCGATAGCCAATAAAACCTTGTCTGATAGGTTTTCTAGATTTTGTAACAAACGTAGAAAAGAGCACCAGGTTGATGGTGCAAAAATGAAGCGTTGATGGCTATTTTAATTTTATGGACATCGAATCATTTTTGATATGCCTAATCACGAGCTACCAAAAATCGGACTTAAGATTTGGATCAGAGTACAAGTTTCACCCCCGCCCCCCTTCCTACCCACGGTGTTTCCACCTTAGCTATCCCCCCCCCAGCTCCACCCCGAACGATTTTAAGACAAAAAAAGAGTCTGTAATCATAGGATTGTTGTACCATTAATATGGATTGCTGCCATTTAACTTAAACACGAATTTCGGGAAAAATACGAATTTTACGGGGGACGTTTATTACTTACGTATTTTACGTAAAATACGCTCGTATTTTACGCGTATTTTACTGGGACTAAAATCACTAGGAGCAGGCCTCTGCTGCACTTGTCTTCGTCGAGGAGGCTGCGAACTCTGGGCTGGCGCACAGCGCGCACTGCGGGCACAGCGGGCCAGCAGACCGGTTTAGAGAGCCGTTCAAATGAGGTCCAGATAGGAGTCGAACCGTCGCCAAGCCGAAAAAGTGCGTCCCGGCGTCCGGCCGCTAATCGCCTGCAACGCGCAACGCGACGGCCGGAAGGGACGGCGAGGACCAGTCAGTCCGAACCGAACAAAAAGTGCTGTCTCCCTCGCACACCTACGGAGCGCCCCTTGCGTGCGAGGGAGACAGAGCGACGAAAGAGCTCGAGAAAGGTTTACGACCCGCCTGAGTACCGTTTTGGCGTTCGGCCGTTCGGCCCCGGACCACCGCCGCGGGCCGCGGTGTGGTCCGCGGTGTGGTCCGGCCCTCCAACACGCACACTGCCTGCCCGCCCGCCCGCACGCGCGCGCGTGAGTGTTCCATAGACAACAAGGGCTGACTTTTGGCTCGTAACACACCGAGCTCACCGAGCTCACCGAGACCGGACGGCGCCCGAGGCCCGAGGCGCGGGGGCAGCGGGGAAGGACACAACAGGTCCAGTTCGTCCTCCGACTTGGTGACGTAACGACGCATAACGTTGTCCCGATCGAGCAGCCGAACAAGGCCGACGGCGCCGGCGGCCAGCTCGAACACGAATGCTCGTCCATTGTGGACGCCGGGGACGCCGCCGGCGGCACGATCCAGGGGGGCGGGCCGCGGGCAGCCTGAGGGGAGGCGGCGCGGCGCGGCGTGCAACAGGTTTCTTGCCGGCTGACGCGTGTTCTAGCCAGTGCTAGCCAGCACGCTCTTCTTCGACGGGCCGCTATCGCCACCCACTTAAATCAGTGTACTGTCGCCTTCCTCTGTCTTGTCCAGTGGCCTTCGTGTCTCTCAGGCCCTTGGTGGCTCGCGCGATGCAGAAAGAAAGTCGTTTCGTCGCTCCGTCTCTGTCGCCTGTCGCACCCGTTGGGGTGCGAGAGAGACAGGGTCGTGAACCACGCAGCTGCAGCCACAGCCTCCTTCATCGCTGCCCTCTGGTCGTTTTGGCCCACTGCCCTCTTCCGACAAACCCAGAGAGACTGGTCCTCTGGGACGGGACGGGAAGGGCCTTGCGGGGCGGGGCGGGGCGGGGCGGGGTGGGCGGGGCATCGCCAAGGCCGCAATTGCCATTCCATTTCCCTAATCAGGGTCGCTATATTTAGGCGGGGCGGCGCTGCGGCTGCAAAACACCCTTCCGATTTACGACGCGGCGTGGCGGTGCCCCTGGAGGCGGTCCAGTGCGTCAGCCACAGGGCGGCCAGATCTGTCTCCATACCGCCGTCGTCTCCGAGCTCGCCGCCAACTCTAACACGGCGAAAGGTGAGACAGGGCGTTTAATGACTCCCTCGGAGACAAAGGCGCGAGCGGCGAGCGGGTTCAAATCAAAATCCCGCGCGGGTTTGGACGGGCAAGCAAAACATCTGCCGAGCGCGTGCGTGGCTGCGTGGCGGCGGCCCGGCGTGGCGGTGACGCCCGTCCTCGCGCGTGCGCAGTGCGTCGCCATGGAGGCGGTCGGGTCGGCCACGGCCTGGTCGATCGATAAGGCAGATGGGCCGCGCCTGGCAGGGCCTGGCGGTAGCCCACCCGCACGGCGCGCGGCCACGGCCCAGTCCAGGCAGCAACGGCGTCAGAGGTGGGTGGACTCGCCCGCCAACGCCGAGCACCGCCAGGATGGCGCCGTCATGTCGCCCCTCCGGGCCCAGGTGAGCAGGGGCAGCAGTGGAGGCCGTGCTGCGGCCTGGAGGCTCCAGCGCCTGCAGCGAGCCGCGCCGGACGGGCCGACAAACGCCTGGAGTGCTTCGCGGGGTCGCGCGTCTATCCCAATGCTGGCCGCCGTGCCCTGCCGCGCCGTGAGCGCACCCCTGTCTGCGTGACCACCCATGGCCGTCCCGGGCCGTCCGCGACCGCGCGTCACGCGGCGGGGCGTGATGCGTGCGCCGCGCACGACCGTGTTGCTCGTCGGGCAACATATGGCGGCCAGGCCGAGGCCAGGCCCAGGTGCGACGCGCGGATACATAAAACATGCGGCGAGGGTGGCGGCGTCGCGTCAACCCGGTGGAGGGCTGTGACGTCAGAGCCGGAGGGCGCTATGGCACAAACTGCCTAGCATGCGTCCCTGGACTCCTTGACGCGCGCGGACGACGGGGACCTCGGGATCCTCGGCGTGACCGTCGCCGTGACACACGGGCCAGTCCCGCGCGCTTGTCGATAACGGGAGGGCCGCCATGCCAGGTGTCCTGCCAGGTGTCCTGCCAGCCCTGTGCAGCTGGCAAGGGTGGGGGCGCACAGTGGGCCAGAAGCCGGTGGCGGCGGCCAAAACTCTAGACGCGTTTTGAGCTCCAGAGTCGCTAAATGGGACTCGAACCGAACATGTGACCCCACCAATGGATTCCTCGTTCGGAGAGCAATCCATTGGTGGGGTCACACGTTCGGTTCGAGTCCTGTTTAGCGACTCTGGAGCTCAAAACGCGTCTAGAGTTTTGGCCGCCTCCACCGGCTTCTGGCCCACTGTGGGGCGGACGCGCGGCCACCAAGGGCGGAGTAAGGACTAGTTGTGTAACCCGCACGGCTTTGGAGCTCGGCGTACCTGGGGGACCGACACAAGGGAGAGCACATGTCAATTGCCGTTCGCACGCGGCGATGCGTGACGTAATGCAGAGCAAGGTTCCTGTTTTCAGCAGCCGAAAAGTAGGCATAAATTGAGCGCTTTCCCCAGCAAGTAGGCAACCTCCTTCCACCTTGCGGCGGTGCCTTAGAGCGGCGGCGTCACAGCGCCGACTTGGCAGAGCGTCGCGGAAGCACTCCCAGTCCAATTCTCTATGCGGCGATAGTTTTCGACGTTTTTGCTCCAATTCGTTTTATTTTGAATACAAGTTGCCAACGCCGCGCACGAATGTTGCAGCCGGGCCTGGGGCCACGCTCTGGCGCTGCTCGCGCTGCTGGCCGCGTCCGCGGCCATGGCCATCTTCGAGGAGGTCGACGAGCCCATGGAGTTCGAGTTCAAGCACCACGACAACACGGAGCTGCCCGACGTGCTGCGGGGCGTGCACCGCCGCTGCCCGGACATCACGCGCCTCTACACGCTCAGCGAGAACAGTGTGCGCGGCATCCCGCTCTACATGATCGAGTTCAGCGCCTCGCCGAACAGCTTCCAGCCGCGTGAGTACGCCGCAAAAAAGAGAGTACCCTGCCGGGACTCGAACCCGCGCACCGCTGACCGTGACGGCTTTCCACAGAGGTGCCCAACGTCAAGTACATCGCCAACATGCACGGCAACGAGGTGCTGGGCCGCGAGCTGCTGCTCAAGCTGGCGCACCACCTGTGCGAGAGCTACCGGGCCGGGGACCCCGACGTCCAGAAGCTCGTCAACATCACCCGCATCCACCTGCTGCCCTCCATGAACCCCGACGGCTGGCAGATGGCCACGGAGTCGGTAAGCGCGGTGCTTCGCTCATCGTCAAAATTTGCTCTCCACTAAACTGTTCAGAACGTGGTGAAATTTTGGGCGCTCAGGGCGGCAAGAACTTCCTGGTCGGGCGCAACAACGCCCACGACGTCGACCTGAACCGCAACTTCCCCGACCTGGACCGCATCATGTTCAGCAACGAGGAGGCCCACGTGGAGCACAACAACCACCTGCTGGCGCAGATGGACCGCCTGGACAAGCCGGTAAGAGTCCTTCTGCGCTGCAAACTCTAGAAACTTTAATGGAAACTGGGAGGCATTCGCGTTTCCCTGCCTGTTGCAGCTGGAGCCCGAGACGAAGGCCGTGATGCGCCTCATCATGCAGGTGCCCTTCGTGCTGTCCGCCAACCTCCACGGCGGCGACCTGGTCGCCAACTTCCCGTACGACGAGACGCGCTCCGGCGCCCCGTCCGAGTACAGCAGGAGCCCCGACGACGACACCTTCAGGTAAGCGGCGTGGCGGGAACGGCTATCCCCCTTTCACGTGGTGGGGACTTGAACCCGAGCTGTTTGTCGCAGGGCCCTGGCGCAGAGCTACGCGTCGGTGCACCCCGAGATGGCGGACCCGGCGCGCCAGCCCTGCACCGTGCACGACTACAACTTCGGCCAGCAGGGCGGCATCACCAACGGCGCGGCGTGGTACAGCGTGGAGGGTGGCATGCAGGACTTCAACTACCTGTCCTCCAACGACTTCGAGGTGACGCTCGAGCTGGGCTGCGACAAGTACCCGCCCAGCAACGAGCTGGAGCGCGAGTGGCTGCGCAACCGGGACGCCCTCATCAACTACCTGTGGCAGGTGGGTAGCCGACAGTGGCGCCGGAACTTTCCGCCACGCGGTGGACGAATCTAACCGAGTGCTTGCCCGACAGGCTCACACCGGCATCAAGGGTGACGTCATCGACTCCAGGACGATGCGGCCCATCGCCAACGCCCTGATCCACGTCGCCAACCTCACCAGCGGCGTGGAGGTGGACATCGAGCACGACGTCACCTCAGGTGAGCGGCAACCGCGTCCCTTTCTGGCGCTGAGTTGTTTTGATTGCACCAGTGAGCTGGAACTCTGCTTGTGGCGTTGCAGTGCACAACGGCGACTACTGGCGCCTGCTGACGCCGGGCCAGTACAGCGTGACGGTGTCCGCGCCGGGCTACGACCCCTACACCCTGCTGCTGCGGGTGCAGTCCAAGCCCCGCCAGGAGGCGGAGAAGATCCGCTTCTACCTCCACCCGGTCACCAGGGACCGAGTCCTCGCCTAGGGTGCTTCGTGCAGGGCACGGCCTAAGGGTCGCCGATGACGAGGCCGGCCCTACTCCCTGGTCGTGACCCACACCAACGGAACATTCTCACCTGGTCTGCTCTGTGAGGAAATCGCCTCGGACGGCTGCAGGGCGGAGGTGGGGGACGGCCGCGCGGCCCAGCGGCCCGGGCAGTGGTGTGCCTGTACTTGTTCCGTTCAGTGTCGCTCCGTCGCGGTTTCCACATTGATTCGACGGCGTTGGGATTGAACGTCTCTCCCCCGACCGGGTCCCCCGGCCTCGCAGGGCCCCGGGGCACCCTTGGGTCTGGGTCACCCTGGGTCGCCCTGGGGCGGTGCGGGCCGGGCGGGAAGGGAGCCAGGACGAGTTCAGGAACACCACCAGCCCGCAGGCCGATTCCGAGAAGTGCTTGTCGTCGCTCTCTCTCTTTTCTCGTACGCATTAAGCACACCCCCACGAGTGCGAGAGAGACGGCGACGAAAGCACTGTCTCGGAACCAGCCTGCCAGGTCGGCCCCTCGTCCGCCTGGAGCGGCCGTGACGAAAACGAAAACCCAAACGAAATCTCAGGACGAAGCGCCGCCTCCTGCGCCCTAGCTGACTAGCTGGCTTGCCCTTTCCCGCCTTTCCACATCGAACCGCGTTCAGTTGGCAGCGCAGACGAGCACGAGCCGGCAGAGGCGGAGGGAGGGGGAATCCGGAGAAGCATCCCACTCACTCCAGTGTGGCATTCCCTTCTTATTCCCTGTGTGGATTCCGAGCCGTCCCCCACATTTCCCAGCAACCCACACTTCTCCTTTGCGTTGTTGCAAAACTGTCTTGTCAGGTAGAATCTAGTCGCTATGATTTGGAGCTGTGAGGTGTGAAAGCGAGTGGAATGTTTGTTTTGTTACGTCCATGTGGGAGGAATTAGAACTTGTTGAATGCAGTGTGAACGCACCGACGCACTTGTTAATGCAGTAAAAGGAACCCTCAAAATTTTTGCTGACGTGATGGCCGAAGCCTCAACTTTAAAGATACAGTTCTGAGTACTATTTAAAATGAAGAATTGGGCAGTTTTCACCCAAAAAATTGTGTTTTCAAAAATATCTAGTCTTCCAAGTCATATCATTGTTTCCAAAAAGAGAAGCATACAGAATTTGGAAGCTTATGATTTTGCCAATCAATCACCAGCTTTGTCAGTTGCTGCATTGAAGCAACACCAAACCCATGCACTGCTAAAATTGAAGTTTTGGGTAGGTGTTATTTTGGACGTACTGTCAGTGAAAGTTTGAGTTTCTAATAACAATCTGGGTAATACTTCATTCCAGTAGAGTGATTGGTGTCAGTAATGAAAGAATCAATTGACGTGCGTTGGCTGTAAATGGATTTGTCAAGAGAAAATAAGAAAAAACCTATTTCGTTAATACATTGAGAATTGTAATTGTGGTTTGCGAAAGACCAAAAAGCAAATTTTCAATATTATCTTTATGTCTTCTGAGTGTGCCCGACTTTTTGTTTGAAATTAGATTGAATAAAAGTTTCCGTAAAGAACTCATTGGTTTATTACTGCAGACTGTAGACCCATAAAATGTAATTTTGCAATGTCAACCATCGCCGGGCGTGGCGCGACAAGCGCCTTACAGATAGACAACCCAATGTAGTTAAGGCCTCTCGAAGGAAGAAGCAAGGTAAGTTGCCTATCTGCCAGGCTGGCTTGCGAACACACAGCAAGGTTCCGAAAATGGCCGGCAGAGCGCGTGACAACCCCTGCTCTCTCTATTCAGATTCAGATTGCGTTGTAAACCATGTCCTAGCAGCCGACACTCAAGTTGGATAGTGTGTTGTGTTGACAGTATCTGGTTCAAAACGTAATGAAAAAGCCACAAGAGGCCACGCCAGGTGATGGCATTCGCTCACTTAAGACCTCCAACGTATTTCGAGTCGTCAACTTCGAGTTGTACGCCAAACCGGTGAGTTGTATGAATATCAGGAGTGAAGGAAGGGTTAGGAACTCTTTGAGTTTAGTTCAACCTTTTTACGTTTTGCATTGTGATTGCGTTTTATCATTCTTTATTCTTGCTTCTTTAAAAGTTTTAAACCCAAAACATTTTTTTTCCTGACTCTTTCCCTTCTAGTTAAACAGTGTCAATCAAGGGTATGTGGCTGTGCTATATAATTACATCGTATTTTATTTTGCAGAATGCAGTTATAATGGGACTTGGTCTTGTTGCAATGGCTGGGAGTTTAGCTTACATTGCCTATATGAGACATAAATATGAAGGAATGGGATACTACTCTGCCGTATCAGAAACCGGGGAAGAACAGTTTTTGAAGAAGAAGTCTCGCTGGGACTGATTGTTTTATTTATTTTGCTGAGTATTATTATTAAGTAAATTTAATTGTGATGAAAATTCCTGCTTGTTTATGTTAATTAATATTTTCAACCTCATACCTTAATAAATCTGAAAACAAAAATCGATGTTGATGTTTTTGTTATGATAACACCCTGCCCAAGTGTTTTCAGGAAACGAAGAGAGGCATAAATTGTGAACAGTAATGAAGCAGACTCCGTGACGAATTGATCACCTTGAAAACTAAATTCTGAGACTGGCATTGCGGATCCCTAGTAGTGGAAGGCACCTGTCTCTGTTTCTCATTTCTATTGTTCCTTGAGACTACTCTGCCATGTGCAGGGCGGAAACTTTTTGAGTTTTATAAGGAAAGTTTTGGGAACATCACTAATATTTATGAAGAAAATAATAGATGGGGTTCAGGTAAAGTTTTAATCTGATGTACAAAAAGAGCAAGTTGGCTGGACACTTAGCTTAACTAAAAAGAAAACAATTTCACAAAAAAAAAGAAGGAAACTATCATACAAAGACACAGGATTGTGATAAAGTGTACATTATTCCCAATTCAGGTAACTGAAACTTGATTTCAAAGAGCCAAAAATTCAAAACCATTCATTCACACTAGTTACTAAATTAAACTAACTCCTGGAAAAAAAAAGATGAAAGAAGATTAGTATATGAATTCAAGCCTCAATCAGATGAAAGACAGAAAAATTAGAACTTACTCTATAGGTTCCTGCAACCTATAACAGTCACTGACAATTTTCCATTTAATTCCTTGAGCTAGGACCTGAGCAGTAATGAGAAACGTTTGTTGAAACGGCTTGGTCTCACCGCTACCAAAGTGCACGCTTCCAGCTGCCTGAATCAGTAATGTGAACTGTCCAGAAACGGCTTCCTCTGGAACAAAGAAAGAGCAAATGGAAAATCACATTTTATTTATCAATCAAAATTTCACTCATACAATCCGATTTTAGACAGCACTCACCCATTACAGGCTGGGCATCAAGGGAATTCACTGTGTGCTGGGAGGTAGGGAGAGCCTCTAAAAACTTTTGGATTTGGTCTTTTCCTACAGACCCTGTACCATTCCAGACTAGCAGGGCGGTATCCATATAGTGTCTTGACAATTGCTAAGAAAAATGGAAGACAAGAAATCAATTAAAACAGCAGTATCCTTCAGGCCCCTCAGAGTGAGCTTACAGACCAGAAAAAAATTATAATAAAATAGTCATTAACAAAGAAAAGATTGGTAACTTACATGTCTGCTTCGGTCCATACTCTCATAGTATAATTTTGTAAATTCTTCGGCGGTATTACAGGCATCGCGAATTTTATCTTTTAGTTGCTAACAAAAGACAACAAACCGTAATGTTAAATAGATATGAATATGTATCCAAACTGCAAATAAAAGAGAATGAAGCTTACCTCTTTCCCGATCATGGCAGGATTCAGATTAAACAAACTTAGAAGTTATGTCACAATACTGCCACACTTGGAGCTGCTGAACAAAAATGCAAGATAAAATAGAGTACAAAAATCATTAGACTTTTATTTAATGGCAATATTCAACTTACTAAGGAGCACAAAATTTCGTATCTTATGTCATTTATAACTTCGAATAAAAGTTAAAAGCAAAACAGCAATAAGAGGACTCAAGCAAACGTAAACTTTGGTCAGGTTTGAGGTTAAGGTTTGCTCCGGCTGACCTGCGCATAGCTCCCCGATGACTATTCGCCCTCCAATGCTGCCCGGAGTAGTATGAGAAATATTTGTGCACGTTGCCAAGCTTTTGTTGTTGACAGTGTTCTGCAGTGTTCATGAAATTATCCGACGTATTTGATTTACTCGAACCTAGTGATACAAAGACCTCTTTAGCTATTCGCCACAATGATTGACAACGCTTATATTTTAGACAATGGAGGTTTTACTGCGAAAGTGGGCTTGTCCTCAGCCGAACCAAGGTACGGTTGACATAACCTGTCAAGTTTGCCGGTATAATGCATGCGATTCTTTGCATTTTACATTTGATCTGTGCAAGCAGACCGTTCCTCTGGACGTCACTCATCCTGCATGTCGGTTTCAGAGTCATTCCAAACAGTGTCATGAAGGCCAAAAGCGAGAGGAGGCGGCCTTTCGTCGCGGACCAGGTAGAGGAGTGTCGGGACGCTTCTGGTTTGTTCTACATTCTTCCTTTCCAAAAGGTCAGTACGACTCAATCTTTAGCTCTTTTAATCTCCGTTCTTCCTTCCTTCATTTCTCACCAGCTGGGCCACTAATTTTACTTTGCATATTTTTTGTCGGCACAGGGCTATCTTGTCAACTGGGACATTCAAAAAACAATATGGGATCATATATTTGGAAAGGACTGCTGCCCGGTTAATTTCAATGAGACTCCTCTCATTGTAACAGAACCATACTTCAACTTTCCCTCAGTTCAAGAAGCAATGACTGAAATATTTTTTGAGGAATATGAATGTCAATCATTATTAAGAATCAATGGTATAATTTTATTATTACCTGTTGTTTCTTTCTTTGCTTGAACAGTTTCTAAATTTTACTATTTAAATTTTCATGTTTTTTTTTTTACAGCTGGTGATCTTAGCAACTATCACTACAGCAGCGACAACCCAAATACCTTGGCCTGTATGGTTGTCGATGTAGGTTACAGTTTTTCCCATGTCACTCCTTATATCAAGGGAAAGAAGAGAAGAGAGGGCATCAAGAGAATAGATGTTGGCGGAAAGGCTTTGACCAACCATCTGAAGGATATCATATCATATAGGTTGGTTGGATTATCCACATTTTTCAAGTGACCTCTGCTTTAGAATTTTATATAATTGAAAACTGTTTTCCTTTCAATAGGCAACTACATGTTATGGATGAAACCTATGTAATAAATCAACTGAAAGAAGACTCGTGCTTTGTGTCTCTTGACTTTATGGCTGACATGGAAATAGCAAGGAAAAGAGGCCCAGAGAATACAATTGCTCGAGATTATGTCCTTCCTGACTTCACCTCTATTCGGAGAGGATTTCTTAGAACCCTTGAAGAAACAAGTAAAAGTACAGAGGGAGAACAGGTAACCACTTTTTTATTTTAATCCACTTACAATTACAACATTAATATGTAATAATCTAATAACCTGCACAATACATACTATTTAGAGTTTTCATTGTATCTCATAATTATTCTCTACAATTACAGACCCTACGAATGAATAATGAACGCTTTGCAGTGCCAGAAATATTGTTCCATCCATCAGATCTTGGTGTGCAACAAATGGGTATTGCTGAAGCTATTGTTTCAAGCATAAACTCATGTCCTGTGGAGACTCAACCCCACCTCTTTGCCAACATTGTTGTCACTGGAGGTTGTGCTTTGTTCCCCAACTTCCAGAAACGGTTGCTGCAAGATGTAAGAAAGTTAGCTCCTGACGAATATGATGTGCGTGTGACTCTACCTGAAAAGTGAGTATTTTTCAAATTCTCTCAAATTTGACATATTCACTGCAGTATAGTGTCTTGACCATGTGCCTCGCATTGCAGTCCACTCACCTACGCCTGGGAAGGTGGCGCACTGCTCAGCAAACACCCAGAGTTCTACAGTTTCGTAGTGACAAAAGAAGAATATGAAGAAGAAGGACTCCACATTTGCTATGAAAGATTTGACATTTAATTGATTAATAATAGAAGTTCTACATGATAGATGGCGATCTTTTTAAAATAATTTTTACCTAAAGCTGCTCAGTAAGATCAATTTTAATTTTAAAAAATACTTTTGTGTTATCAAGTGTGTAAATATTTTTGTTGCGGATAAACAAACAGGCCAATAAAAACAAAATAATTCATCCTCTGGTTTTCTTGGGAGTAAAGAAACGGTTTCCAGTATCCATGATACATAATTCGAGAGAAGAATACTATTACTCATTTGCAATGCAGACAGTACGGCCATTTTAAATTTATTTTTAGGCTGTGCAATAAATGTGCGTAGCCTCGCACCTTCTAGTATGTGGCAGCTAAAGCAAAAACTCAGAAATGCACGAGGGGCCTTGAATCGTTGCAAGTTTAGTTCTTGTTCCACACGAGACTGGAAAAGCATGCAATGTAGTGTCGGCGCTGCCGTGCTGCCGAGGGAAGGGAGGGAATTCCTCGTCCTCGCGGAGCAGACGAGGGAGTACGTCCGCAGACTGCTTCCGAACAGTGCCGTGTCGCCCTGTCCCTCTCGTTTGCGCGCCCCACGAGTGCGAGAGAGACAGGGCGACGACGGCACTGTTCGGAAGCAGCCTCGGCTGCAGCAGCTGGAGCGCCGCTTCACTGGTGGCCGTTGCGGGTGGCGGTGGCGTCCTCCTTGCCGTGGTCGAGGCTGTGCTTCTCGTCGTCGTCGTCGTCCTTGTCCTCGTCGTCGCCGTCCTCGCTGCTGTCCACGCGGATGCCCTTGGCGAGCATGGAGGCGAGGCCGTGCACGTCCACGCTGTCGTCCACGTCGTGGATCTTGCGGATGGCGTTGCTCACGATGCACAGGTCGCCGCGGAGCTCCGACACCAGGGCGGCGATCTTCTGCGCGTTGCTCAGCACCTCGACGCTCTGCGTGTACGGGTTGTAGCGCACGCCGAACGGCCGCTGGATCTGCCCCGCGAACTTCCTGTGGAAGGGACCACCACATCGTGGGTTCAAATACCGACCTTGAGGGTTGTTTTTGTCCCCATCCCGCAGACCTACCTCATCTTTTCCTTGGCCTCCTCGATGGTGTCGGTGTAGTAGTAGGCGTTCTGGAAGGCCGTGATGATGCACTCCTCCTTGCACGTGACCTCCGGGTCGAAGCGCTTGAGCTTCTCGTGGGCGGTGATGGCGTGGCGCAGCTCGGACACGGAGGACAGCAATCCGGCGCCGTACACGCGGAACTCGCCGTCCTGGTGGCACAGGCCGAACTCCACCGTGAAGAAGTAGAGCTGCAACCAGAATGGCGTCGTCAGTCCGAGCGGCGGGTCGCGTTTGGGGGTTGAAATGGCGCGTTGAGACGACGCTTACGGTGGCCAGCCTCTCGATGTCGTGGTCGTTGGCGCCCAGCGAGGCCAGGCCCAGCTCCTGGGAGAACTGGGCGAAGCTGGGGTTGGCCAGCAGCGGCATGTGTCCTAGCAGCTCGTGGCAGCAGTCCCTGCGCGCCGGGCAGAAGAGAGGCGGTTCACGAGGAAATCGAGAAGAATGGCCTGGGCTCCTGTTTGAAAGCCGCGCCATTTCCCAAAGCCTTCGCGCCACTCGGCTACGGGGCCTCGCACGGCGTTCACCGGGCAGTGCAGGCGAGCTTGTGTCGGGCCCGAAACGGCATACGATCATGTGTGGTCTAGCCCGTAATGGTAATGGTAATGGCGGGTAGGCAACACCTCCGACACCGCCGCGCGGAGGGTTGCCTACGCGCAATACTCACGGCTCGGGCGTGTAGAAGGGGTCGGAGGAGTGGCGGATGTACTGCGTGCAGTGGAAGACGCGGAAGGCCAGACCCGAGAGGAAGTCCCGCGGCGACAGGTAGCCCGCCACGGGCCGCAGCTGGAACCCCGTGCGCTCTGGAACAGTTTGTTGCCGCCGTCAAATCATCTGACAGAACAACGTATCTTCGTAGGGGATCCCACGACAGACACGCTGTTTTGTACGAATATGCCACACAATTTTTGGCCCTCCTTCCCGCGGTTCTGGTTTTTCCAAGATGGAACGCACTCTTAAGGTACACGCTGATGTCCTGCAGCTGGGGGATGTTGTCCTCCCTGTAGCCGCAGTACTTGACGAGGTCCGGCCAGTTGTCCAGGTACTCCTTGCAGGCGTGCCGCAGGTACAGCTTGTGCAGCTCTCGGAACACAGTTCCCCTGGATAACGGACAGGACAGTCACTTAAGGGGTGATCTCGAAATTGTTCAACTTCAGAAACCCTCATTGTTTTTCGTGGAAACCCATCGAAATGCCACAGTAAAAAGGAACCGAACGGACCACGGACCACGGACAGTGCAAATGGGAAGATGTTCCGCAGCACACCTCTAATGGTCTGGAGGTGTAGACCATCCGCTGCTGGCGGGACTCGCCTGTCAGCTTCGAAAGCTCCCGCCCCGCCCCGCCCCGCCCCGCCCCGCCTGATTGGTCTGATTTGGTGCAAAGGCGAACATGGCCGTGTCGAGGCGAGACTTCCCAGGGGGCGTTCTTTCCTTTTGCTCTCTTTTCGCGAGTGCTAAGTCGGCGCCTCTCGCGCTGAGACGCCTCGCCGTGCCGCGATCAAAAACAGAAAAAATAAACACAACAAAAGAATGAGGTTTGTCGGCTGCGGCTTTCGGCGCTGCACCTACTCGCCTGGGCAAGTGAATTGAACGTCTACCATACGTCTACGATACGTCGAGGAGGAGAGAAAGAGAGAGACAACTTACCACGTCCTGACCTCCTCCGGAGTGTACTGCACGCGGGGGATGGGGCGGCCGCTGGGAAGTGAAAACAGGAAACAGGATCAAGCTCGACAAACTGCCAGGCTGCGGGCTGGGCGACTCACTCGCTCCGTCTCTCTCACCCCCGTCACCCTACGCGGCCCGCCCGGCCCGCCCCACGAGTGCGAGAGGGACAGAAACTGACGCCTAGGAAGAAGAAACGCGGTGGTGCTGTGTCGAGGGGAGAGTAGGGGGGAGGGGCTCGCTTTTCAAGTTCACGCCCAACTTGTTGCAATCTCCTCGAGGCTGTCTGCTCCACAGTCTGCTGGTCTGCTAGTCTGCTCCGGGGCGGCGGAGCCCGATTAGATTAGCAGTAGCTTTGCACGCTTTGCAAGTGCGGAAGGGAGGCACCGCCAGGGCACCGCCAGTAGGCCAGCCTCGTCGTTCCGTCTCCCTCGCACTCACGGCGCGTCGCGGAGGAGAGCGAGAGAGACAGAGCGACGAAGCCTTGTTCGGGATCTTGCGGGTCGAGTTGATGTCGAGGGGGGAGAGAGGGGAAGCGGTGCTGGAACAAACGGGCCCCTAATTGCGAGGATGGGATAGCATCGACGGGTTGGACTCGAGGCGAAGCGGGGCAGCAAGTTTCTAAGTCCTTTGCAGAAAAAATATCTCGATTTCAAAAAAGAAGAACAAAATGCCAAGCGCGAATCCGCGGGGGGGGGGGAGGACAAATTCCCCACCCCCCACCCCTAGATAGCCGCCTGAAAAGTAGGCAAAAAGCAACACTTTGCCCCTGTAAGTAGGCAAAAAATGCTACCCCCCCCCCTAGGCCGACCCTGGATCCGCCACTGCAAAATGCACCGGTAAATCCACGGGAAATGCCTCCAAAAAGTGCACTTTGAATTACATCTCCAAGTAGGAGGAGCCTGCAACAACACTTCTCCACATTTGCGGATGCGAGTCCAAACTCCACACTCACTATTTGTACTCCATGGCGATCTCGTAGAACGTCTCCCGCCGCTTGCGGTACTCCGGGTCCTTGAAGCCCTGCAACAGGCAGAGCGGGCAACGGCGTGTCACGGCGCGGACGTCCTGGAAGGCCCCTCAGCGACGCGAGCCACTCCAAAATCGTCCAAAATGTCAAAATGTAGATAGCTCACCGGGTGGTCGGCGTCCAGCTCCACGCCGTACATGAGCACGCGCTGCGCCTGGTCCAGGTCTGCGATCTTCCGGGGGAACCACGGCATGTCCCCGAAATCTGGAGGAAGGAAAAGAGAGAGACAGTGGCGGAGCAAGACGCGGTTCAAGCAGGGGGAGGGCAACATATATCGCTGCTGGTAAGCTAAACGTACACAACGCGCGCTCACACACACACCTCCCACACCGCCCTCTGTGTCATGAGCTCCTTGCCACGCCTTCGGAGCACGAGCCCGCCTACAGTGTGGTTGCGCAAGAGCACCCTGGCGGCCAAATTTACGCAGCCTTCTAGTTTTTCGGCTGCGTGCGCTTGGGGAGCACAACGCCATGCTCCACGTAGATTGTCTATAATAGTCGGTCGGATCGTGAGACCAGCGCTTGATTGTTCCGGGCTGGCTCCGTCCACGCGTAGCCCAAGCGCAGCACAGTGGGCCAGAAAACCGGTGGAGGCGACCAAAACCCTTGACGCGTTTTGAGCTCCAGAGTCGCTACACAGGACTCGAATCGAACGTGTGACCCCACCAATGGATTGCTCTCCGAACGAGGAATCCATTGGTGGGGTCACACGTTCGGTTCGAGGCCCATTTAGCGACTTCGGAGCTCAAAACGCGTCTAGAGTTTTGGCCGCCTCCACCGGTCTTCCGGCCCACTGTGCGCAGCCCAGGCGCAGCCCTCGCGGAGTGAGTGGTGTCGCGGCGGACGTGGCCGGCTTACCGAAGCTGGGCGCGGCCGACAGCATGGGGTGGGGCGCGGGGGAGTCCTCGCAGGCCGTGAGGTTGATGGCGGACACCTCCCTGCGCAGCATGTGCACCAGCTGCTCCATGCGCTTGTTGTCGCACTCCACGTCCACCATGATCTCGGCCTCGGACGGCCGGCGCGCGCTCTGCCGCGACTCGATGTGCACCACGTTGACGCCCAGGTCCTGGAACACCTGCAGCGCGCGCGCCAGCCCGCCCACCTGGTTCTTGAGGGAGAAGACGACCGAGTTGACGGGGTCCTTCCCCGCGGACCCGGGGGGCGGGCCGTGCGACGGGCCGGGGCCGTGGGCGTGGCCGTGGCCTGGGCCGTGGCCGGGCACGGCGCTGCGCTGCACCGACACGTCACCGGGACCGCCGCCGACGTCGTCCTGGAAGAGCGCACTAGGTTTTGCACAAAGCATCGGGCAGTTAAATGTCAGCGAGTGCAGTGTAGCGGTCCCCGGCTCACCTTCCCCGGCGGCCTGTCGCGCAGGGCCCAGTCGTCGCCGCCCTGGCGGTACAGCCACAGCCCCAGCAGTCCCTTGCCGGAGCCGCTCATGTCGTCGTCCTGGGCCGGACCGGAGTCCGGGCGGCCTGCCCCTGGGCGTGCCGTGCCCTGCAACACCACGCACTGCAACGCCTGCGGCAGCCGCCCTATCAGCCGCGAGCTGCAGACTCATTCCTGGAGTCGTTCGCTCTGTCTCTCTCACACCTATACGGGATATGCCCTGCGGGTGCGAGGGAGACAGAGCGACGAAAACGACTCTCCGAATCAGTCTGCTGGCCGCGGCCGCGGAGGCCGTGATTGACGCTGAATTAAGTCAGGAGCGAGGAGGCGGGGGCAGCCTCTCTCTCTCTCACTCATTGCGGCCTCCCGAGGGTGCGAGGGAGACAGGGCGTTCGGAACTAAGCTTCCGCCAGTCTGGCGCGCTTGGTAGCGCCCCCGCTCTGCTCTACTTTCACAACCAAACGGGACGTGCCCCGGTGTCGTGTTGCGGGAAAGCGGTAGCGCTCCATGATCCATCGGGCGCGCACCCTGGGAGAGCGGAGGGAACCACTCCCTTCGTTGCCTATCCTCTTGTCTCGCGTTGAAAGGGTTCGAACTTAAAGGAAACTTCCAGCAGAAAATGAACACAACGCGTCACCAGAAGTGAGCGTGCGGTTCACAGCACTGGCGGGTGATGGGGCGGCCAACCCTGGGGCGCGGGGCTGCCCGTCGAGGAGGTACTCACGGGGCGATGCGGGCCGTCGGGCGGGCTCCTGCTTCCTGTCCCGCTGGTCACTGCACTGCCGAGGAGGCCGCTCGCCGCTTCGGTCGCCGCGAGGAACAACCGCGGCTGCGCTGTCGAGGGGTTGCCGTCACCGTCGGCCGTCGGGGTGGTCCTGGGCGCCGCTGCGGATCGGCGGGGGCCTCGCGCACGCGGGGGTTGTCGGAGACTGGCACTCCTGGAGGCGCCCTGGCGTCCACGGCACGGCACTGCACGGCACGGCACTGCGCGGCACGGCGCAGGGGCGGCACTGCCATTGGCCGATCCCGCGAGCGACGGCGTCTCCCATTGGCTGGCCGTGAGGTGCCCCTTTCCGCCCCATCCCGCCTCCAGGACGAGCAGCCTCCGGGAGGCAGCGGCCGAGCGAGACGGCGGCGCGTGAAAAGCGTTGCAGTTGCACCACTCGGAGGCGGTGGCCTGCTCGACGGGGCTGGCCATTTTTAATTTGTTTTGAACGTTTCGATCGTCCCTCCGAAGTGCGGTAACTTAACGGCAGAAAAAGAGGGGGCGGGAAGGGGCACGTTGTGCGCCGGCCCCTTGAAAAACAACGGCCGCCGATCGACGGCACTTCTCTTGTCGTTTTGACTTCGTACCGATATCAACGTCGATTCAATGTCGACTCTAAAATCCACTTCTGACTGGGGGCATCGTGTGTGAGTGTGTGCGATTACGTTTTGTCGTCTCATCGAAGTTCGGCGAATGTGTGATTTATCGTGGCCGTCGCTCGCAGCTCGGCGTCGCTTTGCGTCGCTTTGCGTGCCCACTCCGCTCCACTCGTCTGCAGGGCCATTCCGAGGGGCCGTCTTCCTCTCTCTCTCTCTCTCTCTCTCTCTCTCTCTCTCTCTCTCTCTCTCTCTCTCTCTCTCTCTCTCTCTCTCTCTCTCTCTCTCTTTCTCTCTCTCTCTCTCTCGCACTCGCGGGGCGTCCCTTGTGGGTGCGAGAGAGACTGACGGTCGGTCGCCCCCTTCGAAAGCAGGCGGCCTCTGCTTTGACGTCCTGCCAGCCTGGGAGGCATTCTGGGCATTCCCGGGCAGTCTCGACCGCGAGTCCGAAGACAAGGAATCAACCATCGTCAGGACCCTCCCCAGCCTAAGGTCATATGGAAGATAGGTCTGCGCAACCGAGATGCATGCTGGGAGACCGGGCAGCTAATCCCTCCCGAATCCGTCGCCGGCCGCAGCGGAGGACCGCCTACCTGCCTGCCAGCCTGCCTGCCGGCTTGCCCGGTCTCCCAGCATGCATCTCGGTTGCGCAGACCTATCTTCCATATGACCTTACCCCAGCCCCAGCTTCAGCTCCAGGCGTTCTCCAGGTCACGCGGGTCCTTGGCGGTCCTTGGCGCGGCAGTGTCGGCGCTGTCCTGGGGTAGCGCCTGGTGGTCTAGCCCTTAACGGTAATGGTAATGGCGGGTAGGCAACGCGGGGGCACGCCAGCGCGGCGGGACGGTAGGTCGGCGGCCGGCAGGCGTTCGGGCGGAGGCAACCAACCAGTACGACGGGCGCCACGCACAGTGGGCCAGAAGACCGGTGGAGGCGGCCAAAACTCTGGACGCGTTTTGAGCTCCAGAGTCGCTAAATGGGACTCGAACCGAACGTGTGACCCCACCAATGGATTGCTCTCCGAACGAGGACTCCATTGGTGGGGTCACACGTTCGGTTCGAGTCCCATTTAGCGACTCTGGAGCTCAAAACGCGTCTAGAGTTTTGGCCGCCTCCACCGGTCTTCTGGCCCACTGTGCCACGACGGCCGACCCTCGCCTTTCGTCGAACTCTTTCAACGCGTGGGTTCGCGGAGGGGAGAGATGTTTCATCCGCCCACAAGAAAACGGCCAGGTGGTTCGGGAAAGGAACGGGAGACAACGCGCTGCTGTCGGCGAGACGGCCGCGTTAATTGGGAAACTTGCAGGACTGACGGCCGAAGCGGGGCGAAGGCGGAAAAGGCGGACAGGATCGATTTCGCACATTTCGCACAATTCGCCCGCCACGGAATGAGCTCGAACACGGAGCAACAGGTGATCATGTCGCTGCAGCGAATCGGTTCATGTAATTTTCTGTTAAGCCCGGTAAACCATGATTTTTGCAAAAACCAAAACGCCTCGCGGTTGCCACCTACACCCGCAGAGACCGATCGGTTCGAGATAAGTCGATTGTCTCACCCTGCGCCTAACCTGCCGCGCCTGCACGGGGTTGGTCCCGCCAGGGGGCGGGGGAGGGTGGGCGGCGCGGGGGTTGAGACAGCTTTGAGCGCTCGGCGCTCACTCAGTCGTGCAGTGCCTTTGTCCGGCGGTTAGTCAATGGTCCCCGCCTCCCCCGCCCGCCCCCACCCCCTGGCGCCATCCACCAGATTCTCCTTGGCCTCCCGTGGCGTGGCGTGGCGTGGCGTGGCGTGATGTTTCCAGCAGGAACAAACCCCCCTCGGCCCCGGCCGGCCCGCTGTGCCTCTCAAGAGGGGACGTCGACGTCGGCCATCTGAAAGGCCGGCGCTGCCGTCCGAACAGTGTACCCCCCGGCTGCGATCAAAAACCCCTCTCCAGTTCGTTTTTTTTTTCGTCCGGTGGAACTTCTCCGTTTCGACACCTCTCCGTCCGCCGCATCGGCGTTTCATGGCCATATGCGGCAATGCCATGGCGGCGCGCGCGCGATCAGCAAACATCTCGGTTTCTAACTGCGCGTCTAGAAAACCGAGACGACGGGGCGGTCAGAAACAGGTTTCCGTTGGCCGTGCGGTGCGGTCGGGTGCGGTGCGGTGCGCACTGTGGGGTCGTGGTGGGACGCCGCCAGTCGGGGCCTCTCTGTTGGATCTGATGGCCGCATTGGAAGAGTTCATTGAATTTACGATCCACTCCGGGGGAGTGAAATTGCGAATGCGGCTGGGAAGGCGCAAGTTAGCGCAAGGCGTCGACGGCCAGGGGAGTGGGGGAGGGGGGGGGGCTCACATGTGTAGGCGGAGGGAGGGGAGGGGAGGGGGAGGGGGAGGGGGAGGGGGAGGGGGAGGGGGAGGGGAGGGGGAGGGGGAGGGGGAGGAAGAGGGGGAGGGGAGGGGGAGGGGGAGGGGAGGGGGAGGGGGCTGAAATGAGAAGCGACTGGAAGGTCTGTGTGGCCAGAAGGTGGAATGGCACGAGAGGGCCTTCTCTCTGCTTGGCTCGGCGTGGCTCGGCGTGGCACGGCGTGGCACTGCGTCGAGGCCGCGTGGCTCGGCTTCAAGTCTTCGCCCTGCTTCGCCCTGCTTCACGCTTCACCCCGACCGCGTTCCAGGCTGCGGCGTTGCGGCGTTGCGGCGTTGCGCCACGCGGCGCCGCGGCCCCGTCCTCGTTCTCACCTCTATCTTCCATTAGCTGTACAAACCCGGAGCCCGAGGCGGCGGAGGTGGCCGAGGCCCGAGAAGAGCTGAAGGCTCGGCCTCCCCTCGCTGGTGAACTTTTCCGACGAGTGTTGGTGAAAAGCGACTGAGATTCAAAGTCAGGATCGGCCAGAATCAGGAATCAGAAATGTGCTGGGATGCTGGCAGCTGGGCACCCGAATTGAAAGACATGTTTGCATTTCGTTTAAGTTGTCCAATTTTTATCAATCTTTGACGCTAAGTGTTTCCTAAACGAAGTAAGAACGGCGGCCACCGGGTGGAGTCGAACCCGGATCTAACAAAGCGGTGCTCACTGCTCCAGCGCGCTCGGCCAGGGAGGCGTCCAGGGGTGCACGCCGTCACTCGTTTTCCCCGCCCCTGGCCGCTTCGCTGCTTTTTCCTTGCCCCTCCGACTTGGCCGGGCCGCGGGCCGCCCCCGTCTCGTCTCGACCGCCCTGGCCGCCCTGGCTACAGGGAACTCCAATCTGTTGAGTCAATACGGGTGCGGCGTGGCGCCGAGTGGCGGCCTGCAGTGGCCGCCCCGCCCCGCCCCGCCCCGCCCCTCCCCCTTTTTGCCGCTCATTTCAGGGAGGACGGGCCGGCCGATTGTTCCCAGGACCTCAATCGCCGAAGACCAACATACAAGCCATCAAGGGATGGTCACTGAATAGAGGGCCAGGCTGTCGGGCTGCCGGGCCCTCCAGGGAGAGGCGGAGAGTAACGAGCCGAGGCGGATGACGTCACACTCTGTGGCGGGGTGGGGGTGGGGGTGCGCCACAAGTGGAGGCCGCGGCGTGCGGGCGGTAAAGTCGGACACACGTCGCAGGCCGTCATGCCCCGGGTCTCGGACACGACACTGGCGGGCAGCCCGTCGTAAAGCATGCGCTACAAGGAAGCCCCCATGCTGACGGGGCGTGCGTGAATGCGTGAATGCGAATGGGGTAGGCGTGGGCGAAGTCCCCGCGCGTCCTCCGGGGCGTCCACCAGGACCCCCCGGTAGATGTCGCCTCGCGCCGAGCGCGCCCAGAGTAGCGGCGCTCCGTGGAGTTGCGCGTCCTACCGCCAGGGGGCGCGGGCGCCGCGACGCCGCGCGACGCCGTCCACGCTGGCGGCGCCTTGTGCGGCGCCCGGAACGTCCCGACGGCCCGACGGCCTGGTGGCGCCTGGATCGATAGGTGCCCCCACTCCCCGATGGCCGTCGCCCACTCGCGGCCCCTCCCTCCAGGACCCCGCGTTGCACACGGCCAGCACGGCCTGGCGCGGCGCTGCGGTCTGTGGGGTGGCGCTGCTGCGCTGTGCCTCGCGACCCGTGCGCTAGCTGCGCGCAAAGCGCAAAACAAACATGGCGGACACGGAGTTCGAAGAGTTCCGCCAGTGTTTCGAACGGTTGCCGCAGCACATCAAAGCCACCGCGCAGACGTACACGTGAGTACCCTCGCCGACCTCCGCGCCGCGCGCCGAGTCCGTGACGACACCCCGTCCAGCCCCTGGACGAGGCTGTCACCCTGTCATGGCGCCCGAAGCCCCGCAGGCCCCGCTGGGGAGGGCCAGGGTCGCGCCCAGCACGCCCGCGGCCTCCGCGGCCTCCATCGGGGTGCTCGGCCGTCGCGCCGTCCGGGGATGTCGTTGTCAAAGTCCCTGCGCGTTGGCAGCGTCCCCGCCAAGGCCGAGCAGCGCGCCGTCCTGGGGCCCCAGGGATGCTGGACAAGGGAGGGGTGGGGGTGGCTCGGGGTTATGAATGAAAGACGCCAGCTGACGTCTCGGTACGCACGCACGCACGCACGGCACGCCGCGGTGCGGTGCAGTGTGCCGGACCGCGGCGACGCGAACCCCTTCGCGACCACGACGCCGTGCTGCCCCGGACGCAGGGCAGACGACGAACTTCAGACTGCCCCCGTTTTGCCGAGGGTTGAGGTTAGGGTGTCCTTGGGGTGGCGTGGCGCGGCGCACCGTTTCTGCGTTGCGTCATGGGGGGACGTCGTCCGACATCGTCCACGGGTCGCGCCTCCTTCGGGGACACCGCGCCGCACCGCGCGGCGCAGCGAGGTGGCCAACGGCACGCGTAATCGGCGAAACCCAATAAGCGCCGAGGATTATAGGGGGGAATTCGGCGGTCGAGCGGTTCGGAAGAGTTCACCGACTCTCTCGCACCCCTACTGACTGTCACATGGGTGCGACAGAGACAGAGACGTGACCCTTCGGCATGGGTCTGCAGAAGGGGGCCGGGCCTTCCCTGAGGAGCTGGCGCGGGCTGGCGGCATTGGCCTACATCGTCATGCGTGCCCGCAGGACGGCCCCGCCGGCCCGGCCCACCCGCAACCTTGGCGATAACCGCCCGGAAGGGCCACCTGTGTCTGTCTCTGTCGCACTCACGAGGGCGTCGCGTATTGGCCTGTGAGTGAGACAAAGCGACGAAAGGATTCTTCGGGTTCGCTCGGCCGCGTCGCTGCAAGTCGAGTGACAGTGACTGCCGCACCACGACATGCAGTCCGGCGACGCGGTGTGTGTCATGCCAACCCCCCCCCCCCCCCCCCCCCCGCGGCAATGCCTCGAAAGGGCAGGACGTCTCCAGGGACGGTGCGGCATTTACGCGATGATGGAAAAGACAGAAGCCCGCGGCTCTGAACCGTGTGCTTTCGTCGCCCTGCCTCTCTTGCACTCATGAGGCATCCCGCAGGCGGGGCAAGAAAGACAGAGCGACGAAACACAGCTCGGGATCAAACTCCAGATTGACGTCAGAAATGGCCTTGTTTTTTTTTTTTTCGAAAAGTGCGGCGCTGTGCAGACTGTCCGGGCCCGTGGGATCGGGTGTCGCGGAGGGTGCGAGTCAGGTGTGTGTGCGTGTGGGGGGAAGGGGGGGGGAGAAAGGAGGGTAGAGCTTGGAGGGCGGCAGGGCGGCAAGAAGTTCGCCTGACCGCCTGACTCACGCCCTCTGGTGACGTCACCCGGTGCGCGCGCCACCCCGCGCGTCGCCCCGCGCCCTTTCCAGAGTGCAGTACGCCATGGCGCCTCCAAAGGAAACGAAATGAAGCAATAAAGCGAAAATAAACCGAGAAGTCGTCCCGGCGCCACGTCGTAATGATTGCTTGTTTTCGTCCCGCAGGCTGGTCCACGACCTGGTGCTGGACGACGACACGGACGGCTCCAGCGGCTCGGCGCGCAGCGACTCGGACGCCTCCAGGGACGGCGATGGCGGCAGTCTCGACGCGGCGCCGCGGGCTCGGGACGCTCGGGACGACGCGGCGCTGGCCGGCGACCGCTTCGGCAGCAGGTGAGTGCAAAGTGCGTGGGCGGTACCGCGGTGCCCCGCCCAGGGCCGCCCAGGGCCGCGCACTGGTGTGTCGCGTCAGCGCAGTCTCTCTCGCACTCCGTGCGGGTGCGAGAGAGACAGAGAGAGCGGCATCGCTGTGCAGCTTGGCGCAGCTGGTGTCAGAATGTAGGAGACGCGGTCGCCACTCTCCGCCTTCGGACGAAACGTGTCACGGCGACTTGCCCGCGTTACCCGATACTCGATACTGGGCCGAGGCGCCGCAGCCAAAGCGGCGCGGCGACGCGGCGGCGCACAAGTCTACTTATACCGAAGGGCGCGTCCGATCAGAACTACGTCGCAAAGTCAGTTTGACGTCGGACCGAACTTGGACTAAAATATCATTTTGAGGTCGTTGTTTTCGGTTCCGAGTTATGGACCCCTACTCTCTTCAGGCGATTTATTTTATTGACATCGTAACGTTAACATCAACTTTTACTAACACATCAATTAATTTTTTGACCGACTATCCCAGTGCGGATCAAACTCGTTGCCGCAGGGAAGAGGGCCGGTTCACCTCACCGGGGTGCCCTCTTTCCACAGTGGGCCAGATGACCGGTGGAGGCGGCCAAAATTCTAGACGCGTTTTGAGGTCCGGAGTCGCTAAGCAGGACTCGAACCGAACGTGTGACCCCACCAAATGGATTCATCGTTCGGAGGGCAGTTCATTGGTGGGGTCGCACGTTCGCTTCGAGTCCTGCTTAGCGACTCTGGACCTCAAAACGACGCGTCTAGAATTTTGGCCGCCTCCACTGGTCTTCTGGCCCACTGTGCTTTCGCTGAAATTCTCTTTATCGGGTTCCTGTCACTTCTGTTTTACTCTTTGCGCTAAAATGAGCTTGGAAAACGGAGAACAAACATCGTCAAAACAAATTAACAGGTTGTGGACGGACAAACTGAGCACCGTTTTCTTTCCTGCGCAGGCTGGAGACTCGTCTGGAGGCCCCGCCGCGGCCTCGCTACGTGTGGGAGGGCCTCAAGGAGCAGCCCCCGCCCACCCTGGGCACCCTGGGCAGCCTGGGCAGCCTGGGCTCCCTCATGGCGGGGCTGGCCGTGACCTCCACCGCCTCGGCAGGGGCACCGGCCGGCGGGCCCACGCCGCCCACTGCGGGCCCCACAGCGGGGCAGGGCGCCGCGGCGGCGTCCGGCGGACCCCCGCGAGAGCGGAGACGCCGCCGACTCCCTGAAATACCGCAAAGTGCCAAGAGTAAGTGCGGCGGCCGCCCCCTTGGAGGGCCTTGAAGGGCACCTAGGCCGCGTGCGCGCGGATTCCGTACAGCGCTCCGTCTCTCCATGAGAGAAGGGCGCCCTTCTCTCATGGTCTCTCTCGCGCCCCCATGGGTGCGAGCGAGACCGCGCGACGAGGCTCTGTTCGGAATCAGTCTGCAGAGCCATAGGGGCGCGTAATGGTGATCGGCCCACGGGCCGGCCAGGGGGAGCGGCCAGACAGCAATCAGGCGTCGCGCGCAAGGTCGAGCAAGGTCAAGGCAAGGAGAGAGCTCCGTGTCTCCGCCGTCCGCCCCGTCCGCGCTCCAGGCCGGCCAACGATTGTGTTATCACGACTTATCTCCGCGGCCCGCACTGCGACTCCCCGTGGTGCTGGTCATGGTCTGGGGGCTGGCTGGGCTGGCTGGGCTGGCTGGTCTTGCTTGGCTGGCACGTGCGCCGAGATTAGGATGAAGATGCAGGGATGCCATCACGATGTCCCACAGTGGGCCAGAAGACCGGTGGAGGTGGCCAAAACTCTGGACGCGTTTTGAGCTCCAGAGTCTCTAAACAGGACTCGAACCGAACGTGCGACCCCACCAATGAACTGCTCTCCGAGCGATGAATCCATTGGTGGGGTCACACGCTCGGTTCGAGTCCTGTTTAGCGACTCTGGAGCATAAAACGCGTCTAGAGTTTTGGCCGCCTCCACCGGTCTTCTAGCCCCCTGTGTGTCCCCGGAACCCGACCTGACCGCCACTCCTCCCCTCCTCCACAGATGCCGCCTCCGCGTACTGGAACTCGGGGTGCGCGGGCTGCAGCACCTGCCGTTCGGCGAGCCTCGTCGGGGGCGGCGCCGGAGGCGGACCCATGTCGCTGGCGGCCGAGCTGGGGGCGGTGGGGGCGGCCGACCTGCCCGTGTTCGCGCCGGGAGGCATGACGCGGCCCCTGCTCGTGCTCAAGTGCACGGGGCTGGACGGGCCCGGGGCGGGCTCCCCGGACTCGCAGACCGACACCTTGGACTCGGGCCACTCCACCATGCACTCGCCGCAGCTGCAGCACGGTAAGGGTAACCTGATTAGCGCCTCTGCTAAATGAGGCTTGGCGAGGCACAGTGGGCCAGAAGACCGGTGGAGGCGGCCAAAACTCGAGACGCGTTTTGAGCTCCAGAGTCGCTAAATGGTACTCGAATCGAACATGTGACCCCACCCATGGATTCCTCGTTCGGAGAGCAATCCATTGGTGGGGTCACACGTTCGGTTAAAGTCCCGTTTAACGACTCTGGAGCTCAAAACGCGTCTAGAGTTTTGGCCTCCTCCACCGGTCTTCTGGCCCACTGTGCGAGGTGGCCGCTAAACCGCATCGACTTGCCGCAGACTCCCTGTCCCCCAACTCGGGCTCGGCGCCGGGGTCGCCGACGTCGTCCTCCATGGACAGCGCGACCGGGCGGCTGCCGCTGTCGCAGCTGGAGCTGCTGGAGGCCACGCACCGCGGCCTCTACAAGTTCGTGCCGCGGCACCGCGACGAGATCGACGTGGAGATCGGCGACCTCATCTACGTGCAGAAGGAGGCCGACGACCTGTGGTGTGAAGGTGGGCTCACAAGCCTTCGGGCGAGCTTCTCCTGCACTGGAAGGACTCCGAACCTTCAACTCTTTCTCTGCTTCAGGAGTGAACCTGCGGACGGGCCGGCAGGGCTGCTTCCCCTCGGCGTACGCCGTGGACCTGGAGTACACGGAGCTGGACCCCAGCGAGCCGCGCGTGCGCCGCGAGAGGTTCCTCATGCGCTACTTGGGCTCCGTGGAGACGCAGCGGCACAAGGGCACCGCGGTGCTGTCGGCCGCCGTCAAGAAGATGGTGGACCAGGACGGCAACCCCAAGGGCCCCTACACGTCGTGCGTGCTCGAGGTGTCCGACAAGGGGCTGCGCATGTCGGACAGCGGCAGGGGGAAGGTGCGGAACTGCGTAGCGTGCGTGGCAGAACACGTCAACAAAGCAACTCTGCAGCTTCGCTCTGACATCGTTGTCCTTGTGTCCCGCAGCGCGCGTCGCGGTCGCCGCCGAGGTCGTCGCCGCCGCTGGACTACTTCTACTCCTTGAAGCACGTCTCGTTCTGCGCGTACCTGCCGCGCGACCAGCGCTTCATGGGCTTCATCACCAAGCACCCGCAGATGCAGCGCTTCGCGTGCCACGTGTTCCTGGGGCAGGAGAGCACCAGGCCGGTGGCCGAGAGCGTCGGGTCAGTCCAGCGTCCTGGCTCTCAAGCAGTCCACCAACGTTCTCCCTTTCTCATCCACGGCTTGTTTCGCTTGTTGCAGGCGGGCGTTCCAGAGATTCTACCAGAAATACGTGGAGACTGCGTTCCCAGTAGAGGATATTTACATTGACTAGGGATCCAACAAAATTATGCGAGAGAAATACTCGGGGCCGGCGTCGGTCCGCACGACTGTGTTACGCTGTTTGATTGTACAGCCGAATGTCTCTTCCCTGCAGCCCACACTGTTTGGCTGTCGCTTCATAGAACTGGACCTCCAACATTGTCGCATGTACCTGTTTTCTTTCTTCAAAGTAGGGGACAATATTCAGTATGGCAATCAATCCCGTAAATTTCATGACGTTTCGTTTCCCCCCAAAATCGTATTCGATTTATTATGAAAAAAAATCCTTCAAAAATAAATTTTTAAAAAACTAGCGGTGTTGGCAGAGAACGACCAATAATTGTGTTTTCTTCGCGCAAGAATATTTTAAAACACATCCCTTTTCGAATAGTAAGACTCCCTATTAGTATTGTAATGAATTATTAGTTTATGTTCTCGACCGTTTAGGGGGCGCTTTCGATCCATTTCGAAATAAAAACTGATACTTCTCGCTCCGATAGTCGAGAGCCCCCCGTGTCGTTGTGAACCAAAAGGGTGTTGAAAAAAATGGAACAGCTGTGTTCTTACCCGGGCAATAACGGGGCACGCTGGGCGGGTCACATTTAATAATACCGTTTCTATGACTACGACTTTCTAGATCGTACGCACGATTTTCGCAAAGCATGACCATTGGCTTGCCGCGAGGCGCGCTTCTCCTCTTTCGATTCATTCATCTCGCTTGCGGACTCGCCCTTCTTTTGTCTGATCTCTATGCCAAAGTTGCCATTAACCAATCATAAGCTCAAAGTATTTTTTTGAATCGCATTTATCTGTTTCTTGCGGCTCAACGAGTATTAACTTTATGCTTTTTCCACTAAGACACCAAATGTCAGAAAATTTGTAATCGTTGAGGCTGGGAGGGATGCAGGTCTTTGTCAGTGAGTAAAGTACTCCAAGTTTAGGCACGTTTCTGCTGTTGAAAGGTGCCGAAATTTGGGGCATTTTCTGTGATTTTGCCTTATGGTGGGAGATTTCTTAGGTGTTTCTAGTCTGAGATGTGTGATACCTTTTTCTTGCACTCATTGCATATCACCCGAGAGTAAGCTGGAAGAATGCTGAGTAGACTACCCTCCTACACGCAAAGTAGTGCAATTAGAGTCTAGTTGTTTTTCTTTGAGTGCGCACTTATTAAGTGGACAATTAAAATGTTTGTGACGACGTAGTTTGATTGGCAAGCTGGGTTCTAGACCTTAATTCATAACCCAGCCATGCATCTATTCAAAAGACGCCAACATGTTCCCCAAAGTGAGTCACCAGATGCCGACAATGTGGATGTTTCTAGACTTCCCTTTGACCTTCTCTAGGTCCAATTAGTCATTCGCTTCTCGTCGCTGTGATAAGAACTCACCACGGTAGGGTGGTGATTTCGTTTCTATGTCGCGAACTTTTATTTTTAAGTCTATCACAAAAATATTAACCCCCTTAAGTTATTTCAGCATTTAATTTCAGTATTAAATAAATTAAATAAATGTGCGTGTGTCTGCTGAGCACCACAGTAAAAGAATCATTGTAATTAGTTGTAAATACTGTAAACTAGAAACAATGATGGTGCCGTTGTTGTGTAACCAGAAGTGGACAATTGTCGGGGGCGAAAAGTTTACTTCTGGAATAGTTCGGATGGCCGTGCAGACCCTCTTCGTTCTGGCTTTCGGCGCGTTCCCATCCTAGCTAGCGCTCATTAGGAGTGGAACCGGAAATCGTTGTTTGGAGCCAACGCGATGTACATAGGATTGCCCGCGAGGCGAGGCTGACAATACTCTTAAATACGTGTGAATGCGAGCGAGTGATGCGGTTTGTGAATTGGAATAAATGAGACGAAAACAAACAACTGTTCTTTTCTTTTGTCCTACCTGAACCCTACATCACACTAGGAGGACCCCCAGTTCCCGTCCGGGAGACTGACGGTGTGCTGCCGTAACCGCCACCCTCGCCCCTCCGTCGTACTACCGGCGCCCAGCGGGGAGAAAAGGCATCGTTTAAAACATTTTAATGATGCGTGCTGTGCGGTCCCCCTGGAGCCGTTCTCTCGCGAATTGGGGGGGGGGAGTGGAAGCTGTCTGCAGACACACTGGTCCAGGTGGCCCGGCGTCAGAACCACCCTCCTTATCAGCGCGCGTCTTCCCCCCGAGGGGCGGGCCGAGGCGGGGCAAGGCGGCGCGAGAACTGGACATTGGGCGAGGTCGGGGACGACTATCTGGCTGCAAACACGCTGGCCCCGCTGTGGCAGTCCCATGGCCGCCGCCTCCAGCTTCCAGGTCCATAGCGGCCCGCGCGTCGCGCCCCGCCCCGCCCCGCCCCGCCCCGCCCCGCCGCCATGCAGGCATCGCACTTTACACTGGTTGCGCAGGGCAGGGACGGCCGCCCCTGGCCGCCCCGACGGTCCGTTTCTCACAAGTTTGCTCGGTGTGTTTGCTTCCGTGACTCGGGGTGGATCCGGAACGAGTCTAGCCCGAGGGAGAACGCCAAAAATGACCGAAATCACCTAAGCGGCAAAAATGACAAAGGTCAAAGATTGCATAGTGCGACTGTTGTTGGCCACCCCCTGCCGAAACGATTTCCAACGGCTGGCCGCAATCCCGCTCCATCACCGAGGGGTGACCCACTGTAAAATTTTGTGTACAATGATTGTGTGACTGTGCAAGAATGTGCAAGATTTCTGGCGTTTTCGCCGCACATATTGCCTACTTACAAGCGTTTTTGACACCTGAGTGTGGAATGTGGTCAAATTTTGTACAATGAATGTGGGAAGCTGTTTCCCCCCTCGTCCATCACAGTGCACCAACCGAACTGGAGGCGTGACCAACCCCGCGCCCGGGCCGCGCTCCGCTCCACACCATGACAGCTGTGCGGGTTGTGTCATAGGTGTGTCGGCGCGCTGGAGGCTTGAGGTCGTCGACCCCGCGATCTCTCGCGTAGCTCCTGCACGTGTAGCCGTACGTTGGACTAGTCGCGCGGCCTTGCCCGCCGTGCCACTCACCCTCCCCTCCCCTCGCCACCCCCGCGACCCGCCCCCTCCCCCCTTCCGCTGCTCGGCAGGGGATCGCTGCGTCGCATCGCCCGATTTGCAGAATCGCTGAAACAGGAGAGCCTTTCCCTTCCATGTCGCACTCATTCGCACCGCGAGTCTGCCTCGCGCGGTGCCAGTGTGCCAGTCGCCAGTCGCGAACGGGTGCTCGGCTCGGCAGTACCGCAACGCCGATACACTTGTAGGGGTCTGCGAGACGCCTCCACCTTATCCGCCGCCGCATCCACTCCGGGAGGATCCGCCTGCCCTGCCGTGCGCTTGGTCCCCATGTTGGTCTATTTCACTCAGGTTAGGGTGGGAGATGGAAAAGTAGTTATTGAGCTTCACGGCCGTTTCGAACAGCTTTGTCACATTTGAAGCTCGATATCTTTCTCGTTCCCCATCCAAACCCAAGTGTTGCCATTTGTCCATTCGATTTGAGGACAACTTTGAAAATTCGCCACCCCTGCTTGCAACTGAAAACAAGACATCCGTTTGCATTCCAAGGCACCACTTTTACCGTGCGACAGAGCGACGGCGTGTGCAATCTCTGCTCTTATCCGCGTTTCGATTGACCGCCCAATTCGCCATATCCGGTTCCAGCATTCACCAGCCCCGCCACCACGGTGCACCACGGCCAGCGGGCCGGCCGATAACGCCCCCGTTTTCTTCCCCTGGCTGCAGACCGAGAGTCGTTTTCCGCCCTGCCTCTCTCGCACCTACACGGCGAGCTCCGTGAGTGCGAGAGTGACAGAGCGACGGAACGCCTCTCGGAGTGAGTGTGCCGCGTCTGTTTGCAGGGCTGTGGCGCGCGCCCCGCGTTGCAGCAGCAGCAGCCTCCCCACGCCTCCCCCGCGCTGCCCGCGCCGGCCTCTGCGTCGTCTCCGCCGCCTGGCGGCCCCTCACTTTGGCCGCGCCCGACGCCTCGCGCCTCGCCGGCCAAGCGCAGCTAGTGCCGCTAGCGCGGCCCAGCATCACCATCAGAGACATTCTGGACTGGGGCGACCTGGACGAGGCTTGGCCGGCAGGTCCCGGCGCGGCGCCCCTCGCCCTCATGGAGCACCAGCAGCACGTAAGTCTCGACCTCGACGTCCTCGCGGTCCTCCCATCCCCAAGCCCCCTCGTCGACCGCCGTGCCGTGTGCCGCCGCCGCGCCGGGATGCAGGTTCCGCGCCGCGTTTGAACCGCGCGCCGCAGCGCCGCCCAGGCAGTCCTCCGCGCGCTTGCCGCCGCCGCCCACAGATGGCGCCTCGGGCGGCGGACGAGACTCCGACAAAAGACGGTCGCGCGAAAAGTAGAATGAGAACAATCATGGCCGACGCTGTCCGTGTTCTCGAGTCGAGGTTTCGTTAAACGTAAATAAACAGCCCTTCTGCTATTTGGCTGTCCGCGCTATTTGGCTCGTTGCGACCCGCTCGCCGTTCGCCAAGTGTGAGTGCAATGTGCCCCGGCACTGGACCGCAGCCCAGGACACACCCGCGGAGTTTGAAGGACTAGTCGCACCTTGAGTATTCAGGTACGCAGAAGTGTGTATGGTTATGGTTCGGAAATGGGATGTTTACGTCCGCGCGGACCGGGTACACTAGGTAGCTGTGCGTTTTCGGTTCCGATTCGTTGTTCTTCAGTCAATGCTGCGCAATTTTAGAAGCTTCTTTCCCCTGGAAAAGAAGGGAGTTCTTTTAAAGGGAATGTCACAACCCTTTATGCTCTGTATACCAACCCATCAGGCATGTTGGTTGTCTTTCGCATATTTCCCATTGACACTTTGCCAGGTCGCTCTATCAGGCTATCATTCATTAAATTGTAACAGTATTTAGGTCTGGGAGTAGGTTCCATATACGCTATTGTCGCGTTAGCCCAATGTGCGCCGGTTTGGCAACTGACTTCAGCAGTGACAACATGCCAGCAGCCAGCTCTAACCTTGACAGGATACTACTGAAACTCGTTTTAATGATGGGAAGGGGGGCCCTCTTCTCATGACAACTGCAGCCACATTCTCACAGCGAATTTAGAATAGTGAATTCACTCATTATTGAAATGTTTCTTTGGGCAGTTTTATTGGTTATGTCTTGATTCTGGTGTGAGGACTGGCTGCTATGCAGTTTCACTTTCAAGCATTCATTCAGAGAATGGCCTTGCACATTCGATCTTTCATTTATTTTGCTAATGTTATAATGAAATCTCAATCTCACATTTTCTTAAAATTGGTTTCTGTTTCATGTTTGGTTAATTTGAATCTGATTTTGATAGTATTTCCATTGGCCTACAAGTCTAAACAATCCAGATGTTCCGTCAACTATTAATTTACTATCAATTTTTAGATTGCTTTGACGTGTTTTGTAACATATTTCTTGTGTCCAAATATTGTATGGACACAATTCTCTCAGTTTGTTTGATGGTCATCCTTATTTCTGCTCCCTATAAAGTTAAGTCCAATTTTTTATCTGTATTGTAAACCTTCGGGTGCTGAAAGCGAGACACTATTCAGATCTACAAAATTTTTATGCTCCCTCTCAAATTTTAAGGCGATTGTAAATGGACAGAAGTGTCAATACTATATTTGGCATGTCAAAGCAGTGAGATACATTTGGTTTTAATGCAGTATCAAACATTTTCCGACACTGATTAACAATTATAATAATTCAGAAGTTACGTACTTTGAGGTCTCTTTGTACGTTAGATTATGCTATTTAGCAAAATTTTTATTTATGTTCAAAAAATTTAAACCAGCACAAATTAATCCAAACGTTACCTGTTTTTAAAACACTTTTCCGGTTGAAAAGGGATAACTCTCTTTCTTCTTCAAATCCTCTTGCAAGACAGTGCAGTTGGAGGAGTGTGTCCTTTTCTGCTGGCCACCTTGCCGGGCGATTCTCCATTTCGCTTTCGTTTCTCTGTCTCTCTCGCACTCATGGGGCGTGGCGTGCAGGTGCGAGAGAGACAGAGCGACGAACCGCTGTGCCGCCCTTCCCTCCTCCCGGCCTGGCGTGCCGCGGCCCCACCGCACTCCGCTCCGCTAATGTGTTGTGACGCGAAAATCGGGCGAAAACTTCCGCAATGAGGTAGGCCCGAGCCGACGCCGAGTCGAACCGAGCCGCGCCGAGTCGAGCCGAGCGACCTCTCGCTGCTCTAGCGTCCCTCCCTTTCGGCGTGACTCGGGGCAGGAAGGACTGCACAGGCGCAGGGTTCCATGGGTCAAGGGTGGGGGTACGCAGCGCTGCGGCGGATAGTGGTTGCAACTGGAGACTCACTCCGAGAGGTCTCTGGATGGATGAGGTGTAGCGCGTCTGACCCTCACGCTGCAGGCGCGGGTTCCAATCCCGTACGCATTTTATTTTTTTGTTGCTTCAGGCGGTATCTGCCGCAATTAGCGTAAGATCTGTCGCAAATAGAGTAAGATCTGTCCCGAATAGAGTAAGATCCGTCGCGAGTAGCGTAAGATCTGTCGCGAATAGAGGAAGATCTGTCGTGAGTTAGAGAAAGATCTGTCGCGAGCCCGTTAGGTTCGCGAGTTAGAGAAAAATCTGTCACGAGTTAGAGAAAGATTCTGTCGCGAGTTAGAGAAAGATCTGTCGCGAGCCCGTTAGGTTAGGTTAGGATGGGTTGGACATAGCAGGCTCTCTAAGTTGGACCCTGCGCCTGTGCAGTCCTTCCTGCCCGGAGTCGCGTCGCCCTCCCTTTCCGTCGCCGTGGCGCGGCGTGGCGCGCTGACGGTCCTTCCCCCTCCCCTTCCCCTGCTTGTGCCCACGCCCCCGCCCCCCTCCCTTGGGTGCTACTCCCGCCTACTCCCGCCCCTGTTTGTACCCGTTTGCCGCGCCGCTGCAGCCACCGCGATGATATTGGCTCCGAATGTGCCAACTGTCGCCACACCGAGATGCTTTCGGCGCCACGTCGCCGCACCGCGCCGCTTTTGTCTTTCAGGGTGCGTGTGCGATAGCGATACTCGTTGCTCAGGACGCCGCGCGTTGCGTGTTGTTATTTGTGAGGAACCCAGATTAAGATAAGCGGCAGTCAGGGCACCGTAGGGCACCGCCCTGCCGGGGCGACGTGGCGCCCCAGCAAGCGCCGCGAAGGGCGAGGATGCGAATGTAAACAAGCTCTCGGTACTCATCGCGGGCAGGCAGGCAGGCAGGCAGGCAGGCGGGCAGGCAGGCAGGCAGGCAGGCAGGCGGGCAGGCAGGCGGGCAGGCAGGCAGGCGGGCAGGCAGGCAGGCGGGCAGGCAGGCGGGCAGGCAGGCAGGCGGGCAGGCAGGCAGGCGGGCAGGCAGGCAGGCGGGCAGGCAGGCAGGCGGGCAGGCAGGCAGGCGGGCAGGCAGGCAGGCGGGCAGGCAGGCAGGCGGGCAGGCAGGCAGGCGGGCAGGCAGGCAGGCGGGCAGGCAGGCAGGCGGGCAGGCAGGCAGGCGGGCAGGCAGGCAGGCGGGCAGGCAGGCAGGCGGGCAGGCAGGCAGGCGGGCAGGCAGGCAGGCGGGCAGGCAGGCGGGCAGGCAGGCAGGCGGGCAGGCAGGCAGGCGGGCAGGCAGGCAGGCGGGCAGGCAGGCAGGCGGGCAGGCAGGCGGGCAGGCAGGCAGGCGGGCAGGCAGGCAGGCGGGCAGGCAGGCAGGCGGGCAGGCAGGCAGGCGGGCGGGCAGGCAGGCAGGCGGGCAGGCAGGCAGGCGGGCAGGCAGGCAGGCGGGCAGGCAGGCAGGCGGGCAGGCAGGCAGGCGGGCAGGCAGGCAGGCGGGCAGGCAGGCAGGCGGCAGGCAGGCAGGCGGGCAGGCAGGCAGGCGGGCAGGCAGGCGGGCAGGCAGGCGGGCAGGCAGGCGGGCAGGCAGGCGGGCAGGCAGGCGGGCAGGCAGGCGGGCAGGCCGGCGGGCAGGCGGGCGGGCAGGCGGGCAGGCAGGCGGGCAGGCAGGCGGGCAGGCAGGCGGGCAGGCAGGCGGGCAGGCAGGCAAGCAGGCAGGCAGGCAGGCCGGTCGGTCGGTCGGTCTTCGCGACCGAGACTGTTTACGCGGCGACACTCTCCTGTCGCCTCTAGGCCCGGCGCGCGCGGGAGTCGGATTTAGTTTGGTTTGCCCTAAATATAGTCCGGCACACTACTTGACTAAATTTAGCGCCACATTGGGCAGGACATGGCCGCCCGGGGGCTCTTATTAGCAGCTGATGCATTTAACTTAAAAGCTTGCAAAGAAAAGCCGCAGACGCACGGTGTCAGCTAGCTTCTTACGACGGGGTTTATGTTTGCGAATACCGGACTTTCTGAGCCGTCGGGCTTCCCTTCCGCGTGCCTGCTGGCAGTTTCAAGTGGCGATCTTCGGATTGGACGTCGCTGTGTGCTCTTGGCTTGCAACATGAAAACAAAACGGGAGGCCCTGCCGAAGCAGCGAAGCACACTGAAGGGGTGATAGAGGGGGGCGGTGGGCGGGCTAGAAGATGTGCCCTCGGGGGCTGGGGCCATTTGGCCGCCACTGGTGTGTTCGATGGTTAATTTTATCAAGCAGCGTTCTACCGTTCTACACTATGCAGAGCAGGCTTTTAGCGAATCAGGTCGATGTACGCCCTGAAAATGGGTTCTTAAAATAAGTCCAGCCAGACACTGGTCAGGCCCCTTCACAATCGAAGAATGTCCGAGTGAGTCACGCTGGTCTGTGTTGAGTCACTTTTTTTTAGTTTAAAAAGAATTACCAAAGGATTTTCACATCCGAAGCGAGCGATCACTCCTTTCCTTCCTAGTCAAATTGTGTCACGTTGGTGTCTATTGTTCCACGCGGAGTCCACGCCAAGATAATGGCGATTGGGGAGTTTCCGCACCGCGCCTATCACATGAGTGTCCTCGTCTCCGTCCTGCGGGTCCTGCCTTCGCCGGCAGCGCCAGGGCAACGCCAGGGCAGTGCTTGCGGTGCCGCCAATCTCGATCTTGATTTGTTGTGTTCCAGAATCAGAGTGCGCGCCAAGCTGCCGCCATGGAGGAGCCGGAGCCCGACGACCTGGACGACGTCGTCCAGAGCCAGTGCGTGAGCGCCTCCAGGTGAGTGCCAGGTTGCGTGTGGCGTTTCGTCTTCGTCGGGGTTCGAAGGGGTTCGAGGGGGCGAGCCCCGAGCGCGAGATGGGGCGCCGAGAGCAGTGTGCCGACGTCGGCGTCGGTCTCGTCGCCGAGCAAGCGGAGCACGCCGATGATCCCTCAACTTGGAACCGAATGGCGGGCAGTGGCGGGCCACTGGAACCTGGAACCGCTGGAACCGGCTCGGGAGGGCGGGGCGGCGGCGGGGCGGCGGCGGGGCGGCGCGGAGTACAGTCCCCCGATGACGTCACGGCAGGTGCCAGTGCGTGCGTGCGTCTGTGTGCGTGTTTGCGCCTCTGACGGCCGGCAAAGTGAATAAAACAATGGGAGGGGGGAGGGCGGACGGATGTGGCACGCCGTGGGCACGCCGTGGGCACGCCGCCTTGCCAAAAACCGGCCGAACGGCAGCGAGGCAGCGAACCGCGAGCCGGGCCGCGGAGTGGCGGCGGCGCACGGCGGCGGCACACGGTGCGAATCGCTCATGAGGCGCATCAAGCTCCACCTGGCCCAGGGCCTGGCCCGCGGCCGGTGGAAGGGCGCGACCACGGCCCCGCCCCTCCCCGCCCCGCCCCGCCACAGTGGTTTAAAAGGGGTTTTCGGGGGAATAAGTCCTAGCAAGCGTCCCGTGCGACCAAATGCTACCAGAATTGAACTGAATCATCTGTAGGCAATAGGCAAAGACCAGTTCAAAGGAAAAAGTGGTCCGATAAAAATTGGATTTATACTGCTAAAAAAATGAGAAAAATAGCAAAATTAGAAGAAAAATGACAGAATTGACAAAAAGTGCAAAACTAAAAAATGCTCAAAATACTTAGTTTTAACTTCTAAGCCGCATTAAACCATTTTGTTACTAAGAAAAACAAAATATTTGAGAAGAAAAACAATTGCACTGATGTTTTTTCATTTTGAATGGTGCACACCAGAAGCGATTATCCCCAAAACTAATCAATTTGGCACGTTTTTGTGGTGTTGGTCGCCTTGCGTTTCGTGTTGCGGACGAGTGCGGAAAAGTTATCATCGGGGCATCTTAATATACATGTAAGGGAAGCGCCTCGCACCAATAACTCCGCCCCATCGGGCCCCATCGATGTCCGAAACTCCAAAAGTGTGTTTTTTAATGTGTTGAACGCATTTGTAGCAAAAACCCGCCACCGTGAGCCAAACCGCAAACGAACTGTTGCGCTGTGTGCTGCTTTCCTTTGATTAATGATGAAACGAAAAGAAAAACACGCCAACATACCAGTACCATCGCCCTCATTGGAAAAATAAGGGTAGGAAACATCTAAGAAAATTAGGTGAATTTGATCAAAATACAAAAGACTAAAATCAAACCCTTCCCAGTGGCTTCCAGCGTCATATAAAAATCTATAAACGTCATTTTATATTGTATTGGAGTATTATAGTTCGTTTCCACCCCCCAGAATGCCCCCTGCGACACTTTTGAAAAATCGATTTATTCCCCCTAAAAGAGGATTTTAAACCACTGTGCCCGCCCCGCGGGGCCGTGTCTGCTGGGCTTCCTGTGTGCGCGGGGTTCCGAATCCTTGCCGGGGTGCTGGACGGCGAGGCGGCGTCGAGGTCGCGAGTGGACGTCCGAGTCCAAGACGCACCGATGTCTTTGGGGCCGCTCCGCTGTCGCCTCGATCTTGATGAAGGCCCCGATGAAGCCCTTTGCCCCCAATCCCCCAATCGGCCCTCCTGTCGCGAACCGCGGTGCCGCGGCGTCCAGGCTGCGCGAGATACGCCGCGTCCGCGCGGCCCGGCCGGCGAGCGCGTGACTCAGGCACTACAGTGTGGCTAGGTAGCCAGTGCCACAATGTTGGCATGCAGATACACTGTATCGGCCCCGTCGATAGGACGCCGCTATCTGAAGCCCCTTCCCCGCCCGCCCCGCCGCCCGTCACGCCCCGCACGGCGTAGCACGGCGCCCTAGGTGAGCGGCGCAGTTTATTCGTGTGTAAACTGTACCGGCCCTAGCCTCATCCTCGGTCTCACTGGCCACGCGGCTTGCGCCGAGGTTCGCTTCCCGCGGGAAGCCAAGAGGAGGGGAGTGGCGGCTGCGTTTTCGACCAGTGCAGCGTCGAGGTCGGCGTCAAGGCCAAACAGCCCTGATGCAGAATGCACCTATGGCTCATGTAAAACCGGGCCGCTCTGGCGTGTCCGTGCCGTGCCACACCGCGCCCGGCCGCGCCCCGCCCCGCCCCGCCCCGCCACGCCCCGCCCCGCCCCGCCCCGCCCCGCCCCGCCGCGCCCCGCCGCGCCATGCCGTCTCGCGCCGGCCGAGATATCGATCCTGAAGCAGTCCCTTGATATAGGGCTGCAGACCACACACGCGACCTCTGCTCCCGAAACAAACAAGAGCGGCACTGACCATGCCGTTGGGGACCATGCCGCAATGGCGCCGCCTGGCGCGCGCACGCGTTTGCGGCGTGCCCGCGTTCGCGCACGACGCACTGTGCTTGCGATGCTAGTTTCAGTATTTTCCGCGGATGATGCCAAGGCACTGCCAAGGCACTGCCAAGGCACTGCCAAGGCAGCGAGATCCTGGATCTGACGTGGTGCCGGCGGGCGCCGCACGCTCGACCGGGGCTCATGGAACTGCCCGCGGCCGTTCCGGGGGCCCTGCCCGGTGTCCTCGGGGCGAGGGGCTGCGCGTGGGGGCGAGGGCGAGGCGTGCAGTGCACCAGCTTCCCTCCAATCAATATGACGCGTCCTACATGTCGTCAAGCGAACAGCGAGGCGAGGCGAAGCGAGAACCTTTTCCGCTGCTGGTGGCTGGTCCCTCTAGGCTGGGCCGCTCGGTCGCCCCGTCCCGTCCGCGAGTCCGCCCGTGGTGTGGCGCGGTGGGCGCGCCGCGGTGCTGGTGCTGCTCTAGGCCGCCGTGGTTGGGGCAGTCCCTCGCGGCCGGCGGGCGCGGCGGGCGGGGCGGGGCGCGGCTCTGGCTGCCCCTGTCGGCCTCTGGCTTGACTCGGCGCGGCCGGACGGGACGCGGACGGGCACTCACCTAATCTCTGACTCTCTGACATTCCGCGCGACGCCTGTCGCTGTGCGAAGCGTGCGAGGTGACGAGCAGAGCGCCCTTCCACAGTGGTCCATCTCGCCGTCTCTCTACGCCCCTCCTGCGAGCGACAGACAGAGACCGACGGCCACCTCGCGCTCGCGAAATCGCCCTGCGAAGTCCTCACTTTCTGGCGACTCGGCGAAGATGCCTATTTGTGGCGTCAAGTCGCCTCCGATGTATTTTCGTTCATCTTCGCCGCCGCTCGCGGAGTCCGTTCTAACGACATTCCGGTGCGTTCTTCGGGCTCTTCGGTGCAGCCGGGCCGAGCCGGGCAGCCCGGGGAGCGTTGTCAGGGCAGCGGCGAAAACTCGTCGGGCCGTGAACGCTTCCAGGAACGAAGCGCCCCGGCCGCCCCGCCCCACAGTGGGCCAGAAGCCGGTGGAGGCGGCCAAAACTCTGGACGCGTTTTGAGCTCCAGAGTCGCTAAATGATTCCTCGTTCGGAGAGCAATCTATTGGTGGGGTCACACGTTCGGTTCGAGTCCCATTTAGCGACTCTGGAGCTCAAAACGCGTCTAGAGTTTTGGCCGCCTCCATCGGTCTTCTGGCCCACTGTACGCCCTTCCCTTTGCCGTGCTTTGCTGGCCGCCATCATCCGCCCCGCGGCCCACGGCGTGCCCGCGCCCGGGGGCGCTTTGATTCCGATCAGTGGTGCTTGCTGCTGTCTCTCTCGCACTCACGGAGCGTTCGGGAGTCAGTGCGCCCAGCTCGTCGCGCTCGCTCGGCTTGGGCTTCCGTCATGGAGACGAAACTTGTTTTTGGCGGGAAGGTGCAAGTGGAGCAGCCGGCGGCGGGCTGTTGCCTGGCTGGCCGGCCCCGCCGTGCGGACGGACTGTGGACGGCCCGGAGATGAACCAAGAAAGAAGCGGGCTGGAAGCGGCCGGGATCACATTTTGCACAGAACGAGTCCTGCCAGCCCAGGCTGTGCCCAGGCTGTGCCCAGGCTGTGCCCAGGCCGCCTAGACGCGGCAGGAACAAGCGACTGTTGATAGTAGGTTCGGCGGCGGGGGGCGGGGGCCGCGGAGGGAGGGGGAGGGGGAGGGAGTCTCGCTGAAGGCCGCGGTCGGGCGGGCTGCGGCGTGGCGGGGCGTAGCGTGGCGGGGCGTAGCGTGGCGGCTGCCGGCGAGCGGCGAGCTTCAGTCAGTCGTAGCCTGTCCGCGCGAATCGGTGGAAGTTCTGCGCTGCGCGTTGGCTGCGCCGCCTTCGGGCTTCGGGCTGCCGAGCGGTGTCGACCTGGCCAGGCTCCGCCAGGCTGGCGACTCAGCCCCGCTGCTACGCTGCGGCGCGCTGTGTGCCGGTCAGGCCCATGGGCCTTCCCCCGCGAGTGCGTGTGTGTGTGCGTGTGTGAGTGCGTGGCTGGCGTTGTAGTGCAGTGCGACGCCGCCACGATGTGAAGTAAAGTGCCATTCCTGGGATTACTCGCCATGTCCTTCTACAACAACCTGCTGCCGGGGCCCGACTGCTACGGCGACATGGGGTCCAGGTGAGTCTTGGGCTGCCAAGCCGCCGTGCCGTGCCGTGGCGTGGCGTGCCGTGCGTGCTTGTTGTTGCCCGCGCTGTCTGTCCGCGAAGGTCATCCTACCGGTGCCGGCGCCGGCTGGGCCGCCTGGGTGGGGTTATCACGGCGTGTGAGACAGACGGACAGACAGACAGACAGACAGACGGTCGGCCCAGAGGTGAAGGTATTAAGAGGGGCGGTGATTAACATGCAAAGCGCTCCGAGATGATGCCCCGAGCTTGAAGGACTCTGGGACGGTGCCTTTCGGCTTTGCCTTTCGGCCGGCCGGTGCGGGGCAGGCACACTGGCAGGCACTGGGTCGTGGTGGTACGCCCAGCAGCGCTGTCTCTCTCGCGCTTATTGCTATTTGCGAGCGCGCGACGGCCAGCGGGCCAGCCGGCGGCGGCGC